TCACATTTCTCAAACCCCCCCCCCCTCGTCACACATCGTCACAAATGTCTGACCCCCCCCCACCCAGGTGCGTGACGTCATTTATGGACGGGCCCCATACTCGCGTTTGTTACCAGACTCGCGCGGGTATGACGGAGCGGTGTTTGCAGTTCTCTGCGTGCCGCGCTATGAAGCCTGCGGACCCGAGTTCGAGTCCCCTGCCCGGGCTAACGGCGACTGATCTCGACCCGTCGACACGTAGCTGCCCACTGACCCCACAGAACCACGCAGAGGTCCATAGTAGACCCATAGATCACCCCCCCCTCTCTCTCTCTCCCGCCTTCATGCAACCACCCCTCGATAGCTGCTCCGCCGAGCGCAGACGAATCCGGTGTTTGAGCAACGCGACGGAGCGAGCGAGCGACCTTGGGCGGCGCATTTACGCGTTAGCCCCGCGCACACACAGACACACAGACAGGCACCACACAGACACACACACAGACACACACACAGGTACCACACACAGACACACAGACACACACACAGACACACAGGCACCACACACAGACACACAGGCAACACACACACACGCACCACACACACACACGCACCACACACACACAGACACAGACACACACACAGGCACCACACACACAGACACACACACAGACACACACACAGACACACACAGGCACACACACAGACACACACACAGGCACACACACACAGGCACCACACACACACACAGACACACACACAGACACACACACAGGCACACACACAGGCACACACACACAGGCACACAGGTACCACACACACACACAGGCACCACACACAGACACACACACAGGCACACACACAGGCACCACACAGACACACACACAGGCACACACACAGGCACCACACACACACACACAGGCACACACACAGACACACAGGCACCACACACACACAGGCACCACACACAGACACACACACACAGACGCACAGCCACCACATAGACACACACACAGAAACCGCACACAGACACACAGACACACACACAGACACACACACAGGCACCACACACAGACACACACACAGCCACCACACAGACACACACACAGCCACCACACAGACACACACACAGGCACCACACACAGACACACACACAGGCACCACACACAGACACAAAGGAACCACACACACAGGCACCACACACACACACAGGCACCACACACAGGCACCACACACACACACAGGCACCACACACACAGACACACACACACACAGGCACCACACAGACACACACAGGCACCACACACAGACACACAGCCACCACACACACACACAGCCACCACAGACACACACGCACCACACACACAGGCACCACACACAGACACACAGGTACCACACACAGACACAGGCACACACACACACAGACACAGAGGCACCACACACAGACACACAGGCAACATACACACACGCACCACACACACACAGGTACCACACACATACACACACAGGCACCACACACACACACACACGCACCACACACACACTGGCACCACACACAGACACACAGGCACCACACACACAGGCAACACACACACACACAGGCACCACACACACACAGGCACCACACACACACAGGCACCACACACACACAGGCACCACACACACACACAGGCACCACACGCACCGCACACGCTGGGTGCCGGAGAAAAGTGGGACGCGCGCCGAGACGCACGCGCGCACGTCGCGTGTGAAGGTGACAGCTCCCGCTCTCCTTCACGGCGGCGCAGCGGGGTGGTTGGTGGTTGGCATGGGGCCTGAATGCAAAGGAATTAATATTGGGTGCCCCCCCTCCCCTGACCCCCTCCGGCAACGTGGGGTGAAGCGCAGTTGCATCCCCTTGCACACGCGATGCCAATGTCCCACTTGCTCCCCGTATCTCCCCCCCACCTGCCAGCCATCCAATCCTCACGTTTCCACAGTCGTCGCCTCTCCACCACTCTCACCATGTCAATCCATCCCCCCTCACCACCCCTCCCATCCCACTCCGACCAGTGGTGGAGCGTGGCTGATAAAAGAAAAAAGGACCGGGCACTCGGGATGATGGTAGACCGCCAGTCCCAATGTCTCAGACTCCTCTTCGTAGACCGGAGCCCTGGTCCATCCCCGCTCTGGTCCCTACAGGCCCCTTGTGCAGTTACACCGCCTGCACACCCATTGAGAGCCACGCCACTGCCCCGTAGACTCACGTAAGACCAATAGGGTCACCAAGAGACCCGGAGAATTCCATCGAGAACCAGGGACTCTCATAGATCCACGCAAACCATAAACGTTCGGACAAATGATCCACACGGGACGTGCGGGAAGGGATCCTCGTCCAGCAGTGGATAGAGAAAGGAGGCTGTACGTGTGACATTGTAAATGGAAGGCACATTGGTCGTAGTTTGACAGTCACTGTCACCACAATATGTTACCAATTCTCGGACAAGCGGCATCACCTTAGTGATTACCATTTAAACTACTATTACAGCAGCAGCATCATCATCGTCGTCATCGCGACACTGGAATTTACAAGCGCATCAGGGTGGTGGTGCAATTGCACGGTCTGTGTGTGAAGACTCGCGGCCATAAAGATTACACACACAGACAGAGAGGGACCTTTGCATCCACTGTGCACCACTGTGCCTGTGTTCGCAATTCAGTGACACTTAGGAAGGAATGCGTGACGATGCTGGAATCTCAATCTGCGCGGCGTGCGTGCATCGTTCGCATACCAAGATAGATTAATCATCATCATCATCATCCAGCAGCAGCAGCAGCAACAGCTGAGGCCTATCCGCTGCTGGATGAAGGTATCCCCCCCCCCTCCCCACTCACTCCACCAGCGAAGGGCCCCGAGATACCCCAACCCCAGTAAACGTGCAACGCTGGGCCAACGTTGGCACGTGAAGGGAACCATTGACCCAACGTTGGTTCAACGTTGAGCCAACGTTCCATTGCTTACTGGGAATCCACATCCATTCCGCTGCTCATGAATCGATCCCGTATATGTACATGCACAGATATATTAATTGATCCGATTGCTACATCTCCGTGGTAGTCGTATTCCTTCATTTGGAAGTTGTTCCGTCACCAGTCTCGACCATCAATCCCTGTACACTTTACTGAACACATTTTTTTTTACACCTTATGCCCCTTTGTCAGAATCAGGAGGAGGAATCCGATGAGCTATCAAGCTCTTTGTCGCAGACGTATTGTAAGGTGCGGGGTCAGCAAGTAACAACACTTATTGTTACATATCTCACCCCACGACCCCTTAACCCCCCTCCCCCACTCATAACCGACACCCTTTTACTTTGTCCCCTCTTCATATTCTCATGATACGGCTCTGACTCATTCCCCGCTCAATCAATCCGTGCATCGTCGTTCGCCGTCCTCAATCTCGCTTTCGCCGGTGTCACGCACCGCCGCTGAGTTGCCCCCATCGCTTCCTCTCACCCATTTCATTCACCTCGTCTCGAACCATTGCATCCGTAACCTCGCATTGTTAACTCTGCGTAAAGCGCCTTGCACGGGGGCGCTATTTAAATGGTTTAAGAAGGGCAATACTCAATTTCGCTTCGCTGCTTCCCGGCGTGCACCTCTCGATGCTCCTTCGCACACTTTTCCCGTGACGGCTTTAGTTCGGCGACGTCGCAGCAACAACAACATATTTTTCCGCCGGTATCCACGTGTGTTTTGACACGTATACCATAGCTGACATGATGCAGCGATTGTAAACTTTTCTCAGCGTGCCACGGTGGTCCTTTACGCTGCCTTGTGTTTTTTTTTGTTTTACCACTCAGCTCCGCGGTCTCAAAAAGCATCACTGACCCCCCCCCCCCCTCCTCATTTAATCAATTTCCGACTTCACGTATTCGTCAATGTCACAAACAACAGGGGACATTGCAAAACTGCATGCCGGGGCAATACCGGCGCGCGTGTGGATTACGGTGCGGTTGATGACCATCGCCGATGATCGTGCCGATGATTGTGGTGGTGGTGATGATGATGATGGCGTTGGTGTTTTCTTGAAGGACGTGCTAATTAGCAAGCGCCACCCCAGGACCTCTGCTGTCCTACCAATCACTCAGGGTGTAACGGTGATGGGTTTGATGGGTTACCATGTCCCTTCGGAGGAACAATCTCTGGCAGGGCAATACATGACCCGCCCATCGTAACATCTGTTCGTTCGATGATCATACCCGAACTGGTATAATAATGGTAATCATGCTATGCTCTATTGTGATAATAATGATGATGCTATATGCAGACCGGTGGCGCAGTGGTTAGCGCACTGCGCTTTTAACCCAGTGACCCAATCAATGTTCGATTCAATTCATACGGATTGCGAACATCAACGTGGTATATGCACCAGTCCTCGGTCGTTCCCGTCTTTCACCAAGCCGTGATGACCAGCATGGTGAAGTATGGTCAAATAACCCCCGTGTTCGATACGGCTTAAGGAGGCATTCATATGCAGCTCTGAACTGACAAAGGGCCCGTACATGATGCATTTTAGGATTTCGATGCCGTTGCTGCTGCTGATGATTCTGCTGCCGATGATTGTGCTGCCGATGATTCTGCTGCTGATGATGATGAAACACTAACTGGTGGAACGATGCAGACGACAAGGCACAATTCAAAGCACGCGGAGTGAGACAAATCCACGAGACACCCTCGACTCGCGCGACGCAGACGCACAATGGAACTGCAGCCCCATCCCTGGGGACTTAAGGATGCTGCTGCTGCTGATAATGATGATGATACTGCTGATGATGATGATGTTGCTAATGCTGACGATAATGCCGCTGCTACTGCTCCTGCTGCTGCTGATGATGATAATGATGCTGACCATGCAAACGCTGCTACTGATTCTGCTGCTGCTGATGATGATGATGCTGATCATGCAATCGTTGCTGCTACTGATTCTGCTGATGATGAAGATGCTGCTGATGATGATGCTGATCATGCAATCGCTGCTGCTACTGATTCTGCTGATGATGAAGATGCTGATGATGATGATGCTGATGCGGGTGATGCTTGCTGCTGCTGCTGCTGCTCCTGAAGATGCTGCTGCGGCTAATGCCGCTGCTGGTTCTACCGATGGTAATGCTGCTGGTAATGATAATGTCGATGCTGCTGATGCTGCTGTTGATGCTGGTGATGCTGCTGATGATATGTCGATGCTGCTGCTGTTGTTGTTGAAGCGACACGACGGGGCGACGACTCACCGGCAGAGTCGTCCGCGTCCATGGCGGTGAGTCGGTTCAGAAGAGGCTCGCCGCGTCGCCCAGCCACGGTTCTCGCTCTCTCTGCCCGCACCACTGAGAGTCCCGGTTCCCTCCTCGCCCCCACCCCCACAACCCTCCGCCACCCCCACCTACAACAACCCCCTCCTCCACCTCCCGTAACCTCCATCCACCCCCCCAATCCAGTAACCCCACCCAATCCCCCGCGATCCCCACCCTCAACCCCCCCTCCCCACAACCCCTCCCACCCAATTCCTCGCAATCCTCATCCTCAGCCCCCCCACCCTCACCCCCCCCACAACCCCTCCCACCCAATTCCTCGCAATCCCCACCCTTATCCCCCCACCCTCAACTCCCCCCACCCTCACACACCCCCCCACAACCCCTCCCACCCAATCCCTCGCAATCCCCATCCTCAGCACCCCCACCCTCAACTCCCCCACCCCCCCACAACCCCTCCCACCCAATCCCTCGCAATCCCCACCCTCATCCCCCCCACCCTCAACTCCCCAACCCCCCCCCCCACACCTCCTCCTCCACCCACCAACAAACCCCCCACCCCATACCACCAGCACGGCCAACCACCCAAACTCCGCCCAGCTCAATCGCGATTGGCCCAACAGACGCTCGGAAACTGCGCGTCGCGGGCCAATCGCAGCGCGTCGCTGCCGCGCTACCCCCACCCCCTCCGGGCGAGACGCGATTCTGATTGGACGAGACAGACGTAGTAATTTGCATATCAGTAGCGTGAAGGGATACGGGACAGCCATCTTACGTAGGGATTCAATTTGCGTAAACAACTTTTAACGCACGAAATTCCGTAGTTTGTTTGTTAAGATTCAACAGAATGACATCAGACACCTGTGATGACCCGTGTATACGGAGAGGCTCGCGTGCAGCGGGTGCTGGGTGGATTCTAACATCGCGTGGATCGCTAGAGACGACCACGGCATGGAAAAGGTCTTCATCCAGCAGTGGATTGACCGTGGCTGACGATACTGAATGGCGTGACCGCGCCGATGAACAAGAAGCACCTCGTTACCTCTCGGACGCTAAGCGTGGTTGCGCCTGGATAACGCATTGATGGGCGACCACAATGCATACCGATTTATCATCATGGACTCGCATAGAGACCCATAGACTCACACAGAGACCCATAGACTCACATAGAGACCCCATAGACTCACACAGAGACCCGTAGACTCACACAGAGACCCATAGACTCACACAGAGACCCATAGACTCACACAGAGACCAAGAAACTCACACAGAGACCCATAGACTCACAGAGACCCCATAGACTCACACAGAGACCCATAGACTCACACAGAGATCAAGAAACTTACAGTCTCAGAAACTGACAGGCTCACAGAGACCCATAGACTCGCACAGAGACCCATAGACTCACATAGAGACCCATACCCACACAGAGACCCATAGACTCACACAGAGACCCATAGACTCACACAGAGATCAAGAAACTTACAGTCTCAGAAACTGACAGGCTCACAGAGACCCATAGACTCACACAGAGACCCATAGACTCACATAGAGACCCCATAGACTCACACAGAGACCCGTAGACTCACACAGAGACCCATAGACTCACACAGAGACCCATAGACTCACACAGAGACCAAGAAACTCACACAGAGACCCATAGACTCACAGAGACCCCATAGACTCACACAGAGACCCATAGACTCACACAGAGATCAAGAAACTTACAGTCTCAGAAACTGACAGGCTCACAGAGACCCATAGACTCGCACAGAGACCCATAGACTCACATAGAGACCCATACCCACACAGAGACCCATAGACTCACACAGAGACCCATAGACTCACATAGAGACCAATAAACGCACAGTCTCAGAAACTGATAGACTCACATAGAGACCCATAGACTCACATAGAGACCCATAGACTCACACAGAGACCAAGAAACTCACATTCTCAGAAACTGACAGGCTCACATAGAGACCCATAGACTCACATAGAGACCCCATAGACTCACAGAGACCCATAGACTCACACAGAGACCAAGAAACTCACAGTCTCAGAAATTGATAGACTCACATAGAGACCACATAGACTCACATAGAGACCCATAGACTCACACAGAGACCCATAGACTCACACAGAGACCCATAGACTCACACAGAGACCCATAGACTCACACAGAGACCCATAGACTCACACAGAGACCAAGAAACTCACAGTCTCAGAAACTGATACGGCTCACATAGAGACCCATAGACTCACATAGAGACCCCATAGACTCACACAGAGACCCATAGACTCACACAGAGACCAAGAGACTCACACAGAGACCCATAGACTCACACAGAGACCAAGAGACTCACACAGGGATCAAGAAACTCACAGTCTCAGAAACTGATACGGCTCACATAGAGACCCCATAGACTCACACAGAGACCCATAGACTCACACAGAGACCAAGAGACTCAGTCTCAGAAAGTTATACGGCTCACATAGAGACCCCACAGACGGATTCACCGACAAAAGGATGGAGCGATGGGCGAAATGAGGTGGGGGATATTTCCCCAGCATTTGGGTAGTTACAGACGCACAGGTTTAACAACAACAACAACAGCGGCGGCGGTGGTGGTGGTCCTGTATTATTTCCCAATGAGCTTCACTGCTTAGGGGATCGGAGATGTTAGCGACCTCGCGTGGTGTGCAGGAGGTCGCTGGTTCGATCCCGACTCTTGACGCCTGCTTTATATTTGGAGTTTGCGTCTCTCTCTCTCTCTCTCCCCCCGTGGCCGTGTGGATTTTTCTCCCGGGTACTCCGGGTTTTTCCCTCCTACATTTAGACGTGTATTTGGCTGCTATACATTTCCACATGATAAGCCACTTCGTTGAGATGTAGTTTGTGGACAGGTCGATTTAATTTAAAAGAGCAATGCAGCTCAGTGCGCCTTACCTGGTAAAAAATTATATATTTTGAAAAATGTCCCGCCTTCTTGTCTCGAATGCTAAGGGGCCGTCCATAAATGACGTCACGCACCTGGGGAGGGGGGGGGTCAGACATTTGTGACGATGTGTGACGATGTGTGACGAGGGGGGGGCGGGGTTTGAGAAATGTGACGTCACATCACAATGCGCAACTTTAAATAAACATAGACAACACGTTCTACTTAATTAAATAGACTTTTTAACAAATGTTTTCTCCTACAACTTCAGAGTGCAGCGCCACTTTAAATACACACTACAATGACAATAGTTAAAGCGATTTGAAGCATGTTTCATTTTTTTTGGGGGGGGGGGGGCAGAGCTTTGTGACGTCATATTTGAGGGGGGGTTTAACTTTTTGTGACGCCGTGTGACGAGGGGGGGGGGGTCAAAAATCGTCCCAAATCGCGTGACGTTTTTTTTATGGACGGCCCCTAAGCAGATTTAAGCCTGGATAGGGTTGGCTGAGGTCACCGCAGCCCTCTGCTGACCAACCCACACAAAGTCTGACCATACGGGCTGGTAGTTCGCTTAGTCTGTCAGGGTCAGGGGTCGCAGAGAGTTTCGTTACCTAGTTGGCTCGGTGCTAAGGGCTACAGCAGTGGTATTTAAATGTTCGGCATTCGTTTTACGCGTGTGTTAGTCACGCGTTCGCCTCGTGTGTATCAGTGTGTGTTGGTAAGGCATGTGTCATGTTATGCGTGAGTAAGGCACGTGTTTATTGTTGTGCATCGGTGAATTGTCTCACTACGTGGTTCCTGAGCATTGTTCCATGCACCATTCGGCATTCGTCCTGCACGGTATCCACGCCGCAGCCTTCGCCTTGCCCTCAGCAACTCAACCCGCGCCCTGGAGTGTCATTGGCTAGCTTGTTAGGGTTAGTGGGTAAAGTTTAATTGGCTAATACATTTAGGTACGAAAATGGGCACAGATTTCGCCTCCCTCTCACATATGTTTGTAAGTATTTGCGTCCACATTTAATCAGGCACACGGTCTCCCTTCTGGGAGCGCATACATTTCAGCAGTATTGGATCAACGCAAGCAAACCTCGGATTGGTTTAGACATTCAGTGTCTCGTCAGCACAGTCAGCCTTACTTGAACCTTTCCTGGTGAACTGTCAGCTGTTTATAGACAGGGACTGCCTTGGCATGTAGTGTCTTATCAGCAAAGTCATGCTTGCTTGAACCGATGCTGTTAAGGTTCGGGCTAGATTTTGATTGGCTAATCTGGGCCACGACCTGACAGCTGACCCTGTTCTACTTCTTTCGCACTGTACGTAAACAACTGTGCCACTCGGAGGTGCGGGGGAAGGACAACACACGGAATGAGTTTTCAATCTAGATTTCAAAGCGCATGGCTCCTCCAGTGGCTTCCTGCCATCGGAAGAGCGTTCCAGACGGCTGTAGAACAGCGCCTGAAAGCGCGCGTTGCGGCGTCCGTCTTTGGTTCGATGGTTCGCCAGAAGCCGCCGCGAGGATGACGGGAGTTCGCGCGATGGTTTTTTTTGCGCCTTGACGAGATCACCGAGGCTATTGTGAATTATTTGCGGCGAGCACGTTGTGTCTATTCGGCCTAGTCACTTGCAATTCACGTTTTCGGTATTGATGTTCGCAGCACTGACATAGAGAGAGAAAGAGGGCGGGGGGGGGGGGTGGGAGAGCTTTTGGAAAGCAGGAATTCGCTGACGAGACCGGTTCTTTGGGATTACGCGTGAGAACGAGGAAACACATGTTTTGGTTAATATATGAAAGAAAAAAAAGCTAAAGGACACCGCTAATTCCTCAACATTAATTATAGATAGCCAACCATTGCCACCCTACCGCGAAAACGTGGCAGGGCCCTCCTGAAAAGGAGTCCTTGAGACCCAGCGAGACTTTCCTGGCTGAACGAGCTTAATAAAAACGAAAAATAGAGAGATCTTAAAGACCGGCACAAAGGTGGCCGGGGTGGGTGGGTGGGGGGGGGTGAACAGAAGTGTGCCGGGGTGGTACTGAGCTGGGAGCGTGAGAAAGTCCGACAAGGTCTTGGGACTCCCGTGTGAGCGCCTTTCCTCCCTTGCTTCTCTCCTCGTCATCCTTTCTGCGCCCCTTCCCTCCCCTCCCTCCCTCCCTCGTCCTCGGCTCGCTCAGCAGAAAGCATCGTTCACACGAGAGGACATTCCTGGCGAGGCTGGCTGGTGGATAACTCTTCACCGCACGCTCGCATTTGTCAACCGGGGGGGGGGGGGGGGGGGGGTTGGGGCGGAAATGTTGCGGCGCTGTCTTGTTTAAGCTGCAAGTCCCCGAGTGAAGGGGGACATTGTGTAACACGTGGACTTCGACTCAGCGTCTCTGCCATTGCAGAGAATAGCGAAGTACATTGAAATGACAAATCACTGGAGTGCCTACTCTTTGATTCTTTCGGTAAAGTCACGTAGGTAGAAAAATAATCATAGATCACGAGGTTTCGATCGCCACACCAGCAATGGTCTCTCCCACCTGAAGACGAGTGCTTGTGTGGCGATCGAAACGTCGTGATCTATTATTATTATTTTCTACCCACGTGACTTTACCGAAAGAACCAAGGAGTATGGATTCCCGCAGTGACGAAAGCTTCAAATCAAGATTAAATCACTGGAGATTAAGGTCAGAACCAAAATGCCAAAAGTGTGAGGTTTTATTCTGCACAAATGAGCAAACGAGGCATCGCTGCGCGCCTCTCGTTTTTCAGCCCCGGGCCAGTGGTGGAAATTCCACGCTACTGTGACGGGCGCGAGTACTCCCATAACATAACCATTGTTGAATTCTCCACTCAATTTTAAACTTGAATAAGAGGTTTGGTCTTTTTAGGTCACTGCTGGGTTCAGTGCGCTTACCAGTGCGCCACCGCTACACCCCCCTACCTTCATTAAAGTTGCTACAACTTTTCCGACGATGGAGAAGCAGCCCTCCCCTCACTCCCAGGCCAGCCGGTCTGGCTGCTCCCCCCCCCCCCCCCCCCCCCCCAATACCGCACATCGCTCAGGGTAAACAACTCGGGCACTTCCTTCCTTCACCGTTAAACATTTACCCGCCGTGCATGGGCGTCAACTCACTGCAGCTCAATGGCCAGAGCAAGGCGGAGTGGAGTGGAGTGGGGGGGCCCAAGTAGGTATTTCAAATTAACGTCACAAAACAACTTGAAAAGTACGGTCTGTTCCTCCTATGACGCGTGTTTTTCATAACGCGAATATTGTATATAACGCGATTAATGTATTAGGGAACACATTTTTGTTTGTTTCGTAATGCGCGCGTCGAAATAAGCGGGTCACGCGGCTGCCACTGCGTAGCGTCATCATCGCACAGGGCATTGGGATTCTGCTGGATGCTTCTGGATGCTTCCCAGCTCAAGGTCGGACCGGAATGGAGTTGGAGCCAGAGACCTGCGATTTGTCGGAGGACAAAAAGAACGAAATAGCACTCAAGTAAAAATGCATCTCTTGGCGAGTTACATTGAGTCCATGCTACAGACAGACGGGCAGGGCGAATGCTTTAACGTTTACCAACCAACCGAAGTTGTTTGAGAGCGTCAATGCAAAAGAAAATAAAGACATACCAAAAAAAAAACACGTACTTGGGTCCGTCAAAATGAAGAGTCAATCCCGGAGCGGACGATCCGACACAAAGGCAGTGGAAAACTTCAGAGTGCCGGGCTAAACCGGGGCAGCACCAGCACGTGACGTGGAGACGCAAGCGATTTTCAATCTTTTATCTTTGTAACTTTTTTGTGACTTTATTGGGCCCTCAATACCACCCCCTCCCCACCCCCCCCCCATTAAATGCAGGACCCGGTACATCCATCCCACGTTGCTTTAGGCACACACGACAGCGCCAGCGGAGTGCAAGCTGACTGCAGAGCGATGGCTATGAAGAGGAGGAGGAGGAGGAGACCAAGTATTGTGACCTTGACTTACTTTCGGCACCTAAAAATCACCTCAAGTCAGCCCAGGTCTTTCAAAGCTGCGCGGGTGCCGTGCAGCGGAATTAAAGGTCACGCGCACGTGCACGCGCGCGCGCACACACCGCCGGAGCAAGATCTCGATACGAATCAGTTCCTTCCACCCAAACACAGGCCCCGATTCCCAGACTGTCAGGGTTAAACCAGGACAGGTGGAAAGGCCGACCACAAAGCACCTAAGCGTGCGGTGCTTGGTTGACATTTTGACTCTCGTGTCAAGCTTTAATACGGCCGCTGTGCGTAATGTATTTGCGTCCGCACAATGCACTTCGCACGCAAAGTGCACCCTAACCCTGCCGCTACAAGCGCCGACGAGGTGATAGAACATCGTGCTTGTGCCGAATAGAGTGTTTGGCTGCTAGAAATGTCCACATGATGAGAAGCCCACTTCGTTGAAAGATCATTTGTGGCCAGGTGGCTTCTGAAAAAGAGCTACATAACTCAGTGGGCCTTACCTGGTTAAAAACAAAGTGTATAGTGTGTATCGTGTAATAACTCTCCCACGTGTTTTCGGGCTGCACTGCGTGCTGTTTGGCATGTTGTCCGACGTTTCGCCCAGCGTGCTGCGTCATGGAGGGATTTGCCACTCGTTTGCCAAAAGTGGATAATGGGACGATTGTTGCGTTTCCCAATTAAGTGACGTGCAAGAAACCTTTAAAATTGGATACATTTGGACCGCGACGCTGGCACACGCTGACCTCTTCCTTGAATGACATCACGGGATCTTCAACGCCCAATGCGAAACAGACGGCCCCGCAGCATGGCACGCGTAATGCACCCGCAGTGTTAACCGGGGCGACCCGCCGGTGTCTAATCCGCGAACCCCCTGCAACAAATGGCAGACGTGCTAGCCCCCAGCACAACTCACCACACTTTTTTAGACTTGGGCTCAGTACCGGATGATGCTAGTGCTGGGCCTGTACGTGTGTGAGTCCATGTATGTTTGTGTGGGAGTCTATGTGTGTCAGTGGATGTGTGTATGGCAATGTGTGTATGTGTGTGAGATTCCACGTGTGTGTGTGTGCGTCGATATGTGTGTGTGTAAGTTCATATGTCTGTGTGCGAGTCTATGTGTGTGTGAGAGTCGATGTGTGTCTGTAAGTCGATGTGTGTGCGTGGGTCCATGTGTGTAAGTCCCTGTGTGTGTATCTTAGTCGATATCTGTCTTTGTAAGTCCATATGTGTGTGTGTGTGTGTAGGTCAATGTGTCTGTGAGTCTATGTATGTGTGTGTGCGAGTCCATATGTGTGTGTGTGTAAGTCTATGTGTGTGTGTGAATCCATGTGTGTGTGTAACTCCATATGTGCGTGTCTAAAGTCGATGTCTGTCTGTGTGAGTCCATATGTGTGTGTGTGTGCGTGTAAGTCGATGTGTTTCTATGTGTGTGAGTCGATGTCTGTGTGTAAGTCGATGTGTGTGTCTGTCTTTTTCGCCCGGGCAACGCCGGGTACTTACCGCTAGTATGTTATAAAGGGGCCCTAATTAAAAAAAATACACAAATGTTTAACTTGCATAGTAAAGTAATTGCATTGTTTCATTTGCTCTACAGCCAGATAATACGACAAATCGCTAACCTTAAACACACAGTCGTTCATAAAAGTTGAAGGTGGTACATTACTACAGTAATAGAGGAAGTGCAGAATCACTGAACCGAAATTGATAGCTTGAAAGCATTTAGCGCGGGGTCCTTGAAAGTTCGGGGCCCGTAGCTGCATGTGCAGCTACTGCACATGTAGCTACTACACATGTAGTTACTGCACATGTAGCTACTGCACATGTAGCTGCTGCACATGTAGCTACAGCACATGTAGCTGCTGCACATGTAGCTGCTACACATGTAGCTACTACACATGTAGCTACTACACATGTAGCTGCTGCACATGTAGCTGCTGCACATGTAGCTACTGCACATGTAGCTGCTGCACATGTAGCTGCTACACATGTAGCTGCTACTAATGTAGCAACTACAAGTGTAGCTACTACACGTGTAGCGGCTACTAATGTAGCTACTACTACATATGTAGCGACTACATGTGTAGTAGCTACTACTAGCGTAGCTACTACTAATGTAGCTACTGCATGTGTAGCTACTGCACATGTAGCTACTACACATGTAGCTACTACTACACATGTAGTAGCTACTACACATGTAGCTACTACTGCACATGTAGCTACTGCATATGTAGCTACTACTGCACATGTAGCTACTGCATATGTACTGCATATGTAGTAGCTACTACATATGTAGCTACTGCACATGCAGTAGCTACTGCACGTGTAGTAGCTACTGCACATGCAGCTACTACATGTGCAGTCGCTACTTGTGCTACTGGGGTAATCCGGCACTGCTTGAGGCTCTGTGTTGCGCGCGCGGTGCACAACCGAGCGAGTCGGAGGGAAGTCTCCAAAGACGGCGCACAGCGCCCCCTTTTGGGAACTCCTCACAGGGGTCCAAGCTTCGCAGCGATCCCGAGGGTCGTCGTCGTAGGAGGAATTGCGAAGACTCCAAAGACATGGGCAGACTGTAAAGTTTCCTTCCCGCACGTGTCTCTCGATATAAAATATATATTTTTTAAATTTTCCCTTTAAACATCCCATCGTCCACGCGGCCTTCTGGAAGTGCATCTGAGCGGCAGTTGTGCAAGCAAAGCTCTGGACTGGTTTCGACGTTTAGTGTCTTATCGTAGTCATCATCATGATGAAGTCAGCTCTGCTAAAACCAATGATGACGGAACTGCCGTTTGTTTGTCGACAAGGACCCCCCCCCCCCTCCCTCTGTTCTATATATGGGTCACAGTTGCACGGTAGAACAATAATATACAGAACTATTACTCGTTGGTTCTTTCGGTAAAGTCACGTAGGTATAAAATTAAATAAAATTAATCACGCGCGGCATCTCTTGAGAAAGGTGAGCGACTCGTTCAGGTGAGCCCTTCTTGTCTCGCAGTCTGTTAAAAGCTCTAACAGATATGTGAACCCCCCCCCCCCCCCCCCCCCCCCCCCGTAGAGTCGGTTCAATATTGATATGAAGCTTTAATTTTCTACCTACGTGACTTTACCGAAAGAACCAAAGAGTATGGATTCCTGCAGTCACGAAAGCTTCAAATCAATAATACACAGAACTATCGCCCGCAACGTTGTGGAGAATATAACAAAATAAATAAGCATACAATTCGCATTCTTCCCACATCCGTCTCTCCACGTGACCCAATGCGTGCACGCTGGTAGCTCATCCAATCACCAACCAGGGCTCAAGCCCTGCTTTAGCTTCGGAGATCCGATGAAGAGATGACCAAGAAAAACGCAGCAAACATTCGTCAATAAGCCGACAAAACAGCACGCAGAGAGGCCAGAGAGGTAGTGCGGCCGATGTACTGCGTAGAAGGGCCATTGTCCGAAACGTCGGTCATGGTATACTTTTCTTGTTGAGGTCACACACGGTGTAATGGACGAATGTGTTGAGTGAGTTGTTGTTGTTGTTCACTGTGCTTGTGCACAACTGTCAACGCACCTCCGGTTTCCCCGCACCTCCGGTTTCCCCGCACCTCCCATCAGCACGGTCGGCTAGGTAGGGTGCGAAAGAAGTTCAGCATACGTACAGCAAGCGAATAATGTGTTTAACGTTGCCGAGGTCGGCTGAGATTCCCGACGCATTGCGGGTGAGTGAAATCACAGGTGGTGAATCTCACGCGGAGTGCTGAATGAAGGAACGAGGGACAGGGGATGTACGTAAATCAAAACCATTTTAATATACTGTAAAAAAAAAGAGAAATATTTTCCTTGCAGCCACATTACATTTTTGTTAACAACACCTGAAAACCGGCAAATCTGACACGTTAAAACAGTAGTTTACCAATAACTGCGCGTGTGTAATTGAGCTCTTTTGAAAAATGTAAATCTCAAATGCGTCGTCTGGTTTCTCGCTTGCCGATTGTTCGTGAGCTTGCGACTTCGCTGCTAACGAGCGGTGCGCAGCGGATGCTTCAGGCACCGAGAATTGGCCCGACACCTTGGTTAACACACCTGGCACGATTCTAGAGAAATGCGATTCAACAATGGGTCCCTCCGTCAACCTCCTACAGTTTTGCAGCGGTTCCCGTACGCTCGGGTGCAAGGGCCGTTCCTTGCTTGCCGCCAGTACAATCACGCCACAAGTCAAAACAATTTTGAAATTCTGAAATAACGTTACAAAAAACAACTAACGGCCCCATTGACTTGTATGAACACCCAGCTATAGTCTATGAAATACCTCTTGTTTTCCACCGGCACATCCGAGCCGAGCCAGCGCGAGGCCCTCGTGGTACGGGTGTTTTTTTCCCCACCTGGCTATCTGCTGTGCTGAACCAAAAACACAGGGTGGTCACGGGGGTATCGCAACGTCAAGCGTCAAGCACGACCGTCAGCGGCACGGTTCGGCTTCTGTAGTGGGGTGGAGGCGGGGGGGGGGGGAACTCTTTGGGAGCTTTCCCCGGTGGCACAGGGCTGGCTCGGCACGGCTCAGTTGTGCGGTGGAAAAAAAAGAGGTATAGAAAGGCTCTGGCCTGAGTCTTAACTAAATTGATCGGTTGAACTCTTGATGTAGAATTGTGAATTTGGTGACCCAAAGGGAGTTTCAAGCACTCGATTGCTCAACACGTCACCGCCAATGGAGGCAATGCTTGTTGCCAAACGTTAGTATTATATACAATCAATATTTCAATCAACATAGAGTAAAATAGTACTGCGTAGGTTTTCCTGGTTGTGCTGTGCGGCTCCGACGTGTTTTCGTGGTTAGCCCGCGCGTCGTTCGGCACAATGCCTGACCTTTCGCTCCACGCGCCACCGAAGGAGATCCTGGCACGCGGGCCGAAACGTCGGGCCTCGCGTCGAACTCGTGCTCGGCACGACCGGACAAACGCATCGGGAGAGCTAGAGTAGTGGGACGCTCCTGAACATTCGAACTTGGACCGTGTCACATTATTAAGGTCACACGTAGGCTCTCGAAATGAAATGGCTAAAATAAAATAAAAACATGCAAAGGTTCGATTGTTCTCTTGGTGCAAGCTGCTACGACTCAATCTAATTCGAACCCCGTATATATATAAACTAAGCATCGCCATCGTCGCAGCGCCGAATGTTTTCCACGCGGCGTTTAACATACAACGCTCAAATGGCCCCTGGGGATACAAGTTAATAACCGGCGCCTATTAAAGTTCCACAAAGAGATACGGGACAAACGTGATTACAGTGCTCTATTATATTGCAAACCCATATTAAAAAAAAAATTTAACAAAAATAATTGGCGACGAATTGTCTTTAACAATGGCAACTGTTAGCACATACGACGACGGTACGCGCACACAGACACGCGCACACAGACAGGCGCACACAGACACGCGCACACAGACACGCGCACACAGACACGCACACACAGACACGTGCACGGGAACACGCGTGCCCACAGAAATAACTCTCGACTCGTCCAAATGGCAGCAACGATTAAGGAGTCGGGACCGTAGTCCCGACTCCTTAACCGTGGTCGTCGCGAGGGAACGGCGACACGGGAGGCACGCGACTACGCGCGCACCCCGGCACCACCAACAGCCCCGTGCCTCCTCACGCACGCGGACAAATCGCGTCGCTGGCAGCGAGTCGTCAAACCCCCTCGACTCGAGCAGGTGGCCCGTGACCGGTCGTAGCCAAAGGGAGAGGAATACTCGAGGCGGTGTGCCGGCCCCGCAGGCAATATTTTACGGGCGGTTTTATTTTTTCCGCGTCTCCGGAAGACTCGTTCGGGTGGGTGGCCTCGTGACTAGTTAGCCGCCGCAGACTGCAGCGAGAGGTTGTACGCTGAATTTGGTGTGCCGGCTTGCTTGCAGAAATGTTTTCCGAGCCGCCGACGTATTGGGAGTCGGCGGTACGTTGGGCTCGTGGCCACGGCGAGCGGCAATGCTGGACGCGTGTTGGAGTGCCAGATCGTCACCCGAGGCAGAGCCAGCTGACGTGAAAGCGCCAGTCGCCACGCCGTTCGTGCGCGCAGGCAAAGGTGCTCGCCCGCTCAAACCAACTCGGCCACTTCCTTTAAAATTACGAGGAACTCATCGGACAGAAATATGTGGGGGGGGGGGGGGGGGTGGGGGGCGCAGGCTGGAAACAAATAACGGTTATAATTATTTTTACCGAAGGTTATTTCTAGATAGGAAATAAAAAGTGCAGTTGTGACCCAATGGCTTAATTTCTGCTGGGTACGACAATATCTTGGCACCTGGCACACCGCAGCACCCAGCACACCTGTCGCACATCTCCCTCGCCCGGTGCGCAAGGTCGTGGGTTCCATCGTGGACCCTGGCGATGCCTCTTGTTGTATAGTTGGAATCCGCGTGTTCTCTCTCCCCCCCCCACCCCCCCCCACGGTGGTCGTAGTGTGGATTTTCTCCTCCAGGTCCCGCCAGTTTTGGCCCCCACCCCACCCCTCAACATTTAGAATCAACGTGCGTTTAGATTATTTGGCCGCTACTATATAACTTCCCACGTGCGATGACGATGATACCGGCCACTTCTGTGAGGAGTAATTACGAGTGGACCAGGTAAAGCAGTGGACTTAACCTGGTAAAATAAGAAAAATCACAATTCGAGTTACTTTTAGAATGTGTTCCTAGATAGCACCCCGGAAAAATTTCAAAGACATTCATTACAACATTAGGTGGGAGGGAGGGGGGGTGAGCAGGGGGGGGGGGCTCACGAAACCTGGAGTTTTGGATCTGTCTCAGAAACCGACGCTCACCGTTGCACAAAAACGCGCTACCCCTCCCAGACAGAGGCGATTAAAAACGATCGCGAAAACCACGACATCTGCCACAACCACCTCCACGACCACCCTCAGGACCACCGTCACGACCACCGCCAGCTCCATGACTGCCTCCACGACCACCTCCCCTATCACCTACATGACCACGGCCACGGCCACCTCCACGACCACGGCCACCTCCACAACCACCACCACCACCACCGCACATGCATCACCACTCATGCATTTGTTCTCACGGCCAAACGGAACGGCCTTTAGAAGAAAAAAAATGTCGTTGGCGATCCTTGCGACAAAAAAAACGATTCAAGCGAGTTGGACTGCTGCCGTGCTACGAACCCAACGCTGCGCTAGCGCCAACAGAAATGGTTCGGACCGACTCCCGAGCCCGGGGCTGGCATCAAGGCCACGCTCGATTCCGCGGGTGCAACGGTTACAGCAATCGTCCCCAGCGATCGCAGCCAGGCGGCTTCCCGTTGGAACAAAAATATTGCCGCCCCAAAATCTGAACAAATCGAAATCGCCGCCTCCCTCCCCCGCCGTGGTAAACTGAGACGGCAGCTTCCAATCGAACGAGAGACGGCACACGTCGGAGGCGGCAGGACGTGACTGCACGACGTCACGTCGCTTCGAGTCCGGTGCGCGAGTGGGATGTTGACGGATGAAAGGGGAAGCCGCCCTCCTGATTTAGAGCGTCTCCATTAAGCAAGGCTTACATTGCAATACACCGGCATAAACCGAGTGACCGGCAATGATGCGCTGCATAATGGGATGACCGTCACTGCATCCCGTCGGCCAGCAATTAGGCAAAGTCGCTCGCGGTTTAACGCGCTGGCCGGCAAAGGATCGCCCCGAAAATCGGTAGTCGTGGATCGCGTTAGGCTTGTGGAGCCCTCACGAGCCTAACGCGGCAGACCTCTAAATACGCGGCTTCCATTTGGAGGTTTAATTCAGAGGCTCCTAACGTCGGCCTGTCCGTCGTGGCACTGAACGTGGCCTCCGACGAACGCGGGAGGCCGCGGTTTCGCGAGGGACGCTGCACGTTCAAGGGGACGGGCGAGAGAATTGGGGACGCACCGTCCCCCGTGTGACTCCGGTGGAGGGGGATGGACAGGCGGCGGTGACGAGGTTTCTAGATGGGGCCCCCTCTTGAAATAAATCGCCCGACACCTCCGGTGGAATGCCACGAGTTAGCGCCGTGGTTAGGGTCGCACACCTCCGGCGTACAGAGCACCGGGGACGTGCCAACGGGGGGACAAGGCGGCGTCGCGACAGCGGACGCGGTGAGGGGGCGAGACTATGCGGCGAATGCATCGCCGTCCTGCGCGGTGCATTTATTTGGCAAACTGACAAAACGTCCCGGCGGAAGATTCCCCGAGGACGGGGGCTACCTCGTCAACGAGAGGGACGGCGGCGCCGGGGCAACCGTGGCGGGTGGCGACCCAAGCTGTAACGCGGGGGGGGGGGGGGGCACGGGGCTTGGCAGGCGACAGGCCGAACGTGCAAAGAAAACGCGGCTCGTGTCGCTAGACGAGATACCGGAGCCGAAACGCTCTCACAAGGTTTCGCCCCAACTCGGTCTCAATTCTCAGACGGGTCATCGTTCCTGCGCTCTCCACTCTTAACCAATGCCTCCACTCCCCCCCGCCCCCCCCGCCAAGGCAAATTAATCCTTGTGCCCACTCATCACCGGGCTTCCCCAGCACCTCCCGTTAGCACGGTTGGCTACGTATGGCGCGAAAGAATCTCAACATACGTGTATGACCAGCATGCAACAGTAGGCCCAATTATTCTCTGGATACTCTTTCTAGAGCTCCCTCTGGTGGAACCTCTTGCAGGGGGGTTGCTCCTTTAACCTTTGTAGATTTTAATTAATTCAAACACCACATTAGCTGGATGCTCCACAAGCAAAACAAATCCGTCTAAATTAACCCGCCACCCCCCCCCGCCGCGTCCGGATCATTACGTTGCGATGGAAAACGTTAAAAGGTGTTTTCACAGCAGGTGAAGGAGAGGGTTTACACTACCGCCAGTGTCTGTGTGTGTGTGTGTGCACGCGTGTGCGCTGCGTCACACCACGTCACACCGAATCTACCGTAGTCCCCGTGCAATCTTCCACAAGCGGGTGATCCCTTCCCCCACCTCCCCTTCTTTAGATACAGCCCAAAGCAAAGAGCAGGACGAAAGACGTAAAAATAACAAATAACCCGCGGCAAAAAGACGGACAGGTGGCAGCGGTTAAAGTTACATTTTTAAAAACGTCGTGTGTAACAAAAACTACGTGGGTCTGCTCTGACCGCAAAATTAGCAGAATATTACTTCGCTCCGATAACTGCACCGTGGCAGACGCTGCTTCCGGCGGTGTCTTTACTTCCAACCTGGCCAGAGTGACGCCGTCTCTGCGTTATTGCGCTTTTACAGCATTGGGCACCGAATGGGTCACGAATGAGATTTGAGCGCTTGCGTGAGCGTACACGTGCGGGTGCGTGCACACGCACGCGCGTCAGTACATTCGAGCGTGTGCGTGCGGTGCGGTGCGAGCGTACGGGACTGCGCGAGCGTGCACGAGATCCGCACATCGGCGCGCGCAACGACGGCGTGTCAGTGAACGTGCGTGCGCATGCGAGGCCGTGCAGCGAGTGTCAACGTGCGCGCGCGTGCGCGTGTAGGCGCGTATGTGTGCGTGTAGAGTTCCCCCCCCCCCCCCCACCCCCCACCCCCCCCCCCCACCCCCCTGCATGGACACGTAGAGAGCGCGAGCGAGAGACGAGGAGAGTTGGGGCGTGCGCCGCGCGTGGCCTTGCCCTCCCACCCCTCCGCGAGCACGCCACTACAGCAGCTTGCACTTCTTGGAGGAGCTCCTGACTGGCGGGGGGCAGAGCACGGCGCGGATCGCCTCGTCAAACACCGTCTTCAGTCCCCGCTGGGTCAGCGCCGAGCACTCCAGGTACTTCACGCTGCCTGCTCACGCGCACAAAGACAAAGGTGCCCACCACCCCCCCACACCGAGACCCCGGATAGCCGTTTAACAAACTGTTGGGCGGTGTTGGCGAACTCCTGTTGAGGGCCGGCGAGGCACACGGGGCGGTGGGTGGCCAGCACCGCACAACCGGTCCACCATCGTCAACCCCAGTGCTGATGTTCACACACACACACACCGGTCACTCATTTAAGGCTGATTTGACCTAGGGGAAGGGCTCCCAGGGGACCGGTTCGGAAATATGCCGGAGAGCGGGAGTCGAAACTCGGCTCGCCGGGTTCGTGTCGCGGTGGGCTCACCGCGACACCGCCGCCGCCGCCGCACCCCCTCCGCGCGTCGCGCCGAGCGTCCTTCGGCACCGCGTCTGGTGACGTGTCGCTGCGCGTGCCGGGAGCCTGCTCCCTGGAGGCTCCCGAGTCACCGTGGCACGCTCCGCCACTTCTTGCAGCGGCACAAGCGCCCGAGTTCCGTCATTAACGCAAGGTTAAGGTGCAGCCCTGCAAATTGCTTCCTCGGGCCGCTGCTGGTGGAAGAGCCTCCACTGCTGGCAGCTGCAGAGAACCCCCTCTAAAAGGTTGCTTGGCCTACTCTTCCACGCTAGCCAGACCTTCTCGGGACGAAGGTGAGAGTACCCGCACTTGACGGCACCACACGCCGACGTGGCGATCGACTCTGCCGGGTGGACAGAGGTGGTGGTGGTGGTGGTAAGGGGATTCAAGAAACTTTCACCAAATGGAACCGGCGGCCTCGGGGCGGCACCTCTGAAGGGGGCACGCGGCGCAGCGTCAACACCGCCGATACGGCTACGGAGGCAGATCGTTGTTTTGTCGAATCGCGCGCACGTACCTGCGCGCGATTCAACGACACATCCTGTCCACTCCTCGGTGAGCAACTCGAGCGTTGCGAGGATCGCGGCTATGATGCGGCTGGGGGAAGCGAGGTGGCCGGGAGTGGGCACGCAGTGAGCCCACCGCGCCACGTCCTGACGGGGGATCGCCAGCGCATTGTGAACAACGAAATGGCGGACGGTGGCCATGAACTATTTAAAACTATTTTGTTTGTTTTAGCAGGTAAGGCGTACTGAGCTATATATATATGCGTAGCTCTTTTTTCAGAAGCGACCTGGCCGCAAATGATAGCTCAACAAAATGGCTTATCGCGTGGCAATTTAGAGAAGCCAAACACTCTAAAACACACGTTTCTAAATGTGGACGGAAAAACCGGAGGACCCGGAGAAAAATCCACACGACCACGGGGAGAGAGAGAGACACGCAAACTCCAAATATACAGCAGGCGTCAGGGTCGGGATCGAACGCACGACCTTCCGTATACCAGGCGAGGTAGTTAACATCCCGCCAGTGTGGCGCCCTTTGACATCGACGATGACAAAACGCTTGTCCGCCCCAGGGCCCGTCCCAGGATAGTGGTTGAGGCAGTGACGTACCGATGTCTTTAGCCATGGCGAGCCCCTGAGGGTAGGAGATGGGGGCCAGCTTCTTGTCCTTGAGTCGCTCCGTGGTGTCCTTGTCGTCCCGCAGGTCCAGCTTGGTGCCCACCAGGATGATGGGGGTGTTGGGGCAGTGGTGTCGCACCTCCGGGTACCACTGCACAAAGACACACGGGCCTTATGGCAGGCTGTGGGGGCAAGCGCTGGTAGACAAACAGCCGACCGAGGCTGGAAAAGCGGACCAGGGGGGTATGGGATGGCCAGCAGCTCGCCCGGCCGCCATTGTCTCCGCAGTGCTGCAGTGCTGTTCTATACGCACTGCACCGGGACAGGCACCGATATTCGTCACCGATGTTGGGCGTGAGCAGGAATCGAACTCAGGTTGCCAGGTTCATAGGGCAGTGCGTTAAACACTACACCGCCGCTCCCCGTACCACTATATACACACACACACACGGGCGCAAACACTCTTAAACAAGGCTCCGATAATCAATGAGCTCTTCCTCGCTAATTACTTATTTGGAATAAACGAGGAGCAATATTTCCCTCTAAATGCAGCAGAATGCCCACATGCAGGCCGAGGCCTTCATCCAGCAGTGAATTGACAAAGGGTTGAAATGTATTATTATTACTTTTACTGTACGTCCTGGTGTTTAGTAGAATATCAATAGACTTTTCAAACACCCTTTTTATGGGTCGTCCGCGCGAAGACACTGGAATATTCGGTCAGATCTTATCTCTAGATCTGAATCCATGTGTTCTGTGTCCACACATCACCTACAAACATCTAAGGGCCATATCAAACGGAAGCTCCTGACCTATAGGTGTGACATGCCGACACAGTCGCGTATCCAACAATGTTGTGGGTGTCTCTTAGCCGTGAACAAAAACGCAGTGAGGTGTCTCTCGAACTCATCTAAACGGTCCGCGAGTGCTCGGGACACCCACGGCCACCTTCTGCCACCCGAGGCGACCCCCCCCCCGCCGCACGTGGGCATGGACACACGGAGACGTGGAGGTTCGCCTGCCGGAACTTGCATCGACGTCGTCGCAGCAGCTATGCATCCCGCAGGCCCCGAGCACAACAGCCACCGCTGTGACTGCCCGCCCGCACCGCCCCTACCCGCTCAAAACGTCCATCTGCCAAACGGCTCCAGCGGCGCCGCTGAGTTTCTCTGCAGCAAGCGGTTTTGACAGGAATCGTGTGGTTTTGCTGGGGTTTTTGGACGGGTTAAAAATACTGCACCGCTTCCAGGAAATCGCTCGTTCCCCTTTCTGACAGACATCATGAAGTCTGAATCAAATGTTGGTGGAAACGACGGTAGAAGGGCGATGGGCGCGTCCACGATGGCAGTGATGACGACGATGATGACGATGATGACGATGATGTTGGCCGTGGAATCATGTCAAGGGTTCTTTTAGATAAAGCGTGGAGTGGGCCGAGCCGGAAACGTGCCTTCTACCCCGCAAGTGCACACACATCGCAAGTGGCATTGCGCCGTGGGACCGGCAGCTCGCTGCATATGGCCTCGAACACTTTCCAACTAAAGTTGAGAGCGTGTCTGTCCCGTCGGGTGTAACACGGGGGAGGGCACGATATCTCTCATGAAGATGATCCAATACGAATGAAACTTTCGTTAAAAAAAACCTTGCGTTGCTCGTTGGGATGTAACCCGGAGAAAAGCGGCCAAATTGATCAAAGGGTTTGGCAAATATTCCATTGACAAAACCCATCGCTGAAAGTATTCACCCTGGCAGTTGAGGCACACGCGCCTGCCCTCCCCTTTCGCCCTCCCCACACCGTGACCACGTGCGATGTCATCACGCGAAACCACGCCGATCCCCCCCCTGGCCCTTTGCTCTGGCGAACCATCGGACACCAAATATCCAGAGAGACACTCAGCAAGCTGCAGAGGAAGTGCATGCGTTTTATCGACAAACGCCAATGACCTCCTGTCAACCAAGATCTCGACAGTGAACCCCACCGTCGTTTCAAGTCCTGATCGCATCCCTTCTGAGATGAAGCTGCCGCTCCTTCTGCTGCTAGTCACCATCCTAGACGCTCACCCAGATCTGGAAGAACGCTGGTAAACAGCGCGGACGTCCAGAATAATAAACATCTCACTCGGGACCCAAACATCGCACCTCCTGAGTTTGGACATTGCTCGAAGACACTGGCGTTAACCATCAACGGCATCAGAACACCAGCAGGCCAATGCACACCATCTCCTCCATGAATGGAAAATTAAAGACACGAGCGACAATGCTGTGACTGTGGCCATGCAACCTAAGCCACGGACCGTGCAGTCAACCCACTGTGGTCTGCGTTCATTCACCGGAAGAGGAAAAGCAAAATGACACCAACTCTCCCTCTCTCTCCTGAAGCCCTCTCGTCGTGGACAGCAGCAGAACCTCGACATTGGCATCGAGCTCCTTGAATGACACTGCTGCTGCTGCGGGCACCGGGCGCGAGAACAGAACCACGTGACGTCTTGCGACACGCGAGATCGCCTACAAAAGGCTCACAGCGAAAGGCCTGCGCGCGGCCGTCAAACTGAAACGTTGCCGATTTTCATGCGGCGGCGTTGCTGGTTGGGGGTGGGAAGGAGAGGGGGTGGGGGAGAAAGGAGAAGTTGGGCAGCGCGAGAAGCAGAGAGCCAGCGGGGGGGGGGGGGGGGGCAGGAGCCCTGCAGGCGCCCGCCACACACGACGTACGGTGCGAAACAAGTACACACAACATACACACGAGCACAGTGCGATTCTAATAATTATAATGCGAGTCTAATGCCGCACCTCCAATTAGCGCGGTTGGCTACGTACGGTGCGAAAGAAGTTCAACGTGCATGCATAATACATTTTAGTGTGACGATGCTGATGGTAACATACCAACTCCGGGTGACCCCCGACTTAGGACGGCTCGACTTGCGAGCCCCCGCCCGCTTTTACGACCTTTCTTAGAGTATTCAGACCCCCCCCAGTAACGACCAAAACTCATATCTACGACCGCCTAACGACTGCTACCGACGCCGAGTCGATTGGCGACGAGTCTACGCTTATCACGTTGCAGTGTATAGTATAGTGGTGTATAGTAGTGTAGTGTATAGTAGTGTAGTGTATAGTAGTGTAGTGTATAGTAGTGTAGTGTATAGTAGTGTAGTGTATAGTAGTGTAGTGTATAGTAGTGGTGTATAGTAGTGTAGTGTATAGTAGTGGTGCATAGTAGTGGTGTAAGGTAGTGGTGTATAGTAGTGTAGTGTATAGTAGTGTAGTGTATAGTAGTGTAGTGTATAGTAGTGGTGTATAGTAATATATAGTAGTGGTGTATAGTGTATAGTAATGTAGTGTATAGTAGTGTAGTGTATAGTAGTGTAGTGTATAGTAGTGTAGTGTATAGTAGTGGTGTATAGTAGTATAGTGTATAGTAGTGTAGTGTATAGTAGTGGTGTATAGTAGTGGTGTATAGTAGTGTAGTGTATAGTAGTGGTGTATAGTAGTATAGTGTATAGTAGTGTAGTGTATAGTAGTGGTGTATAGTAGTGGTGTATAGTAATATATAGTAGTGGTGTATAGTAGTATAATGTATAGTAATGTAGTGTATAGTAGTGTAGTGTATAGTAGTGGTGTATAGTAGTATAGTGTATAGTAGTGGTGTATAGTAGTATAGTGTATAGTAGTGGTGTATAGTAGTGGTGTATAGTAGTGTAGTGTATAGTAGTGGTGTATAGTAGTATAGTGTATAGTAGTGTAGTGTATAGTAGTGGTGTATAGTAGTGGTGTATAGTAGTGGTGTATAGTAATATATAGTAGTGGTGTATAGTAGTATAGTGTATAGTAATGTAGTGTATAGTAGTGTAGTGTATACTAGTGTAGTGTATAGTAGTGGTGTATAGTAGTGTAGTGTATACTAGTGTAGTGTATAGTAGTATAGTGTATAGTAGTGTAGTGTATAGTAGTGTAGTGTATACTAGTGTAGTGTATAGTAGTGGTGTATAGTAGTGTAGTGTATAGTAGTGTAGTGTATAGTAGTGTATAGTAGTGTAGTGTATAGTAGTGTAGTGTATAGTAGTGTAGTGTATAGTAGAATAGTGTATAGTAGTGTAGTGTATAGTAGTGGTGTATAGTAGTATAGTGTATAGTAGTGTAGTGTATAGTAGTGGTGTATAGTAGTGGTGTATAGTAATATATAGTAGTGTAGTGTATAGTAGTGTAGTGTATAGTAATATATAGAAGTGTAGTGTATAGTAGTATAGTGTATAGTAGTGTAGTGTATAGTAGTGTAGTGTATAGTAGTGTAGTGTATAGTAGTGTAGTGTATAGTAATGTATAGTAGTGTAGTGTATAGTAGTGTAGTGTTCAGTAGTGTAGTGTATAGTAATGTATAGTAGTGTAATGTATAGTAGTGTAGTGTATAGTAATGTAGTGTATAGCAGTGTATACTAGTGTAGTGTATAGTAGTGGTGTATAGTAGTATAGTGTATAGTAATGTATAGTAGTGTAGTGTTCAGTAGTGTAGTGTATAGTAATGTAGTGTATAGTAGTATAGTGTATACTAGTGTAGTGTATAGTAGTGTAGTGTATAGTAATGTTAAGTAGTGTATAGTTGTGGTGTAGTAGTGTAGTGTATAGTAATGTATACTAGTGTATAGTAGTGTAGTGTATAGTGTAGTGTATAGTGTAGTGTATAGTGTAGTGTATAGTAGTGTAGTGTATAGTAGTGTAGTGTATAGTAGTGTAGTGTATAGTAGTATAGTGTATAGTAGCGTATATTAGTGTAGTGTATAGTAGTGTAGTGTATAGTAGTGTAGTGTATAGTAGTGGTGTATAGTAATATATAGTAGTGTAGTGTACAGTAGTGTAGTGTATAGTAATATATAGAAGTGTAGTGTATAGTAGTGTAGTGTATAGTAGTGTAGTGTATAGTAGTGTAGTGTATAGTAATATATAGTAGTGTAGTGTATAGTAGTGTAGTGTATAGTAATATATAGAAGTGTAGTGTATAGTAGTGTAGTGTATAGTAGTGTAATGTAAAGTAGTGTAGTGTATAGTAGTGTAGTGTATAGTAGTGGTGTATAGTAGTATAGTGTATAGTAATGTATACTAGTGTAGTGTATAGTAGTGTAGTGTTCAGTAGTGTAGTGTATAGTAATGTATAGTAGTGTAGTGTATAGTAGTGTAGTGTATACTAGTGTATACTAGTGTAGTGTATAGTAGTGTAGTGTATAGTAGTGGTGTATAGTAGTATAGTGTATAGTAATGTATACTAGTGTAGTGTATAGCAGTGTAGTGTTCAGTAGTGTAGTGTATAGTAATGTATAGTAGTGTAGTGTATAGTAGTGTAGTGTATACTAGTGTAGTGTATAGTAGTGGTGTATAGTAGTATAGTGTATAGTAATGTATACTAGTGTAGTGTATAGTAGTGTAGTGTTCAGTAGTGTAGTGTATAGTAATGTATAGTAGTGTAGTGTATACTAGTGTAGTGTATACTGGTGTAGTGTATAGCAGTATAGTGTATAGTAGTGTATACTAGTGTAGTGTATAGTAGTGTAGTGTTCAGTAGTGTAGTGTATAGTAGTGTAGTGTATAGTAGTGTAGTGTATAGTAATATATAGTAGTGTAGTGTATAGTAGTGTAGTGTATAGTAATATATAGAAGTGTAGTGTATAGTAGTGTAGTGTATAGTAGTGTATACTAGTGTAGTGTATAGTAGTGTAGTGTATAGTAGTGTATAGTAATATATAGTAGTGTAGTGTATCGTAGTGTAGTGTATCGTAGTGTAGTGTATCGTAGTGTATAGTAGTACAGGCGGCATGTCATGCGCAGACTCGTCGCCATCAGGCGCTGCTTTGCTCTTCCGCCATGTGTGTGTATATAGAGTATAGCCTCACAGACTGCAGCTGCACCTAGAGCGAACGCAGCAGCGTCTCTTGCTCAACGCTCTTTTGTAAAATTTCTTCAAATTTTTAACAATTTTCGCCTTTCGCTATGTCCGAGAAGAGAAAATGTGATGCGCGTGCAGAAAAGTATTTAAGGATTTTCAAATGAAAGTGTTTTTTTTTACTTAATAAGTGTTTGTAAAGGTTACGTTAAGTTACAATAAATGGTTAGGGTGATTTTCATTTATTTCCGTGGTTAATTGTGGTATTTTTACGGCATTGTAATGGGTTTCCAGGAACGCAACCCCAATGTATAACATTGCACCCTATGGGAAACGAGGGTTCGACTTACGACGACGGCTCGACTTGCGATCGTTGTTCAGGAGCCAATTAGGTTGTAGGTGCAGGGGGGTAGGCGGTCGCCTGTAGTGCAAAAATGACGTTGACGATGTTTGCCGACGATATTTACCAACTGGCTTGGGGAGGCCTTTATCTAGCGGGCCGGTTGACAAAAGGGCCGTAAATTATTATCCTCGTGACGCCGTCGAGGCCCCCCCCAAAGGCACGAAAGTGCGACACCCAAGTGAACTGCCAAGCGGCAGCCGCGGCATGGCCCGCGCGGTCTCGAGTGCTGCAAAACCAGCGGCGCGCAGCGGCGGAACGTGACTGCGGTCGCTTATCTCTGCCGGTGTACGGAGGCCCTGGCCAGCGCGCGCACGCTCGCACGCCACGATAACGAGCCACCACGTGAGCCTCTCGCTTCCTTGTTCCACGGCGTCACCGCTCAACGCCGGCACACGGGCAAAGATCGCCCGTGTAGCCTTCAACGAACGGCGAGGGCAAGTTGCTGTTGGTAAGTAGCACCCTACGAAGGCCGGCACGGCGCACGAGGGGGCGGGCAGGTGGCCCGCTGCCTTTGTCTCCCCAGTGCTGATGGTTTACACACTGCACCAGCTACTCATTTGAGGCCGAGTCGACCTAGGGGAGGCCCAGGACCGGTGCAGATAAAATTCGTCACCGATGTTGGCCGTGTGTTTTATTGTGTGAATTGCGCTCGCGCACTCCTGGCAAAACGCAGTGGGGCAGCAGCACCGACAGAATTAGTTGAATAAAAAAACCAACCTCTTCTCTTTTGTATCTGCAGAACCAGGCCGTGTCTCAAGTTCAACGCCTCGTTAAAAGAGAAAACAAAATAGGAGAAATCCCCGCACGCGCGTGGATTCATTAACGCTTTCCAACACGCGTTTTGCCTGCCTAAGAATTTAATTTGCGGTGCGGAAGCCGATGGGAAGCAGCTGCCAGAGCAAAATGTGTTTGCGCATTTGCAAATGGTCCTTTTTGCCCCCGGGTTTTGGGGGAAATCTTTGATAAACCTGGGCGGATTTCACTCTGACAAGTCCCTAACAGCGACACAACTTTGGGCCCTGGTGCAGCCGCACCGCCTGCACACTCGACGGGCCACGCCACAACCTCACCTTGGCACGAACGTTCTCAAAGGACGCTGGGCTCACGAGCGAGAAGCAGATGAGAAAGACGTCCTGCGGACACACAAAAACGCGCACACAAACGTAAAGATATAAGCCTTTCGTCGTCATCTCGTGACGATGGTCAATGTTCTTGAAACTTCTCTTGAGGAACGAGAGAATAACAGAAAAAACGAGAAACAATATAAATGAGACAGTAAAAAAAACGAGCCCAAAAAAATGTATTCACTCTCGAATCTTCACCGAGGAGACGTTGCATTATTACACACGCCGAGCTAAAACCCCACGGCTGACAAAAACGCAGCCACAAGCGGCCGAGCAAGCCGGGGGTTTACACAGTCCGTCCGTTCCCTGCGGCATCGAACAGTGTCGAGTGGTCATTCGTCACCAGCAATCGACCGACCCAATCGGAGGCCATGGCAACGCAACTCAGATTCTCTCTCTTCTTTGACCTGCCTTCCCCCCCCCCTGCCACCAGATCGATTTTAAAGAGGTTCTGAGCGCACTCGGGGGGCAGCAGTGACCCTGTCATCGGCTCACATGCACGCACCCCCGCCCCGGGCGCGAACTGTGCATTGATCAACTCGTAAATTTCACGGCCGCTAAATGGAAATTTTAACTGCGACATTTTTTTTTACGACCGTTTTATCTGCGATTTTGATATGCCTCTGCTCTGCTCGTACAGTGGTTCGAAAGGGCGATTTCTAGCAGCAGAGTTTCGCAAAATGTACCCATCCGCAGCTCTGCAATAAGCTCTGTTCTCCTAGCCTTAAATGAACCAACATTCATTCATCTTCATCGTCAGCCATGGTCACTCCACTGCTGTATAAAGTGCCTCCCCAAGCCACAGTCATCTGTGACGAGCCTGCAATGTACACCAGTATCCTGGATTAGTGCGGAAAATCCTCGCAGTGCCTCGGGGCTGCCTTTAAGGAGGGTCCTGCATCGGGAAGTTTGGTCAAATCCACAAAATGAGTGCTTCATTTTGTCTGGAAGGAAACCGTAGAACTCGCAGGAAACCCACCATGCATATGTGATGGGACGGGTGGGGGGGGGGGGGTTAACACTCAAAGCTCCGCACAGATAGATTCAAAAATCCGTTGCCCTGCTGCCATCTCCTGGTCATATCACAGCCCGAGTGTAGAACACGTGGTGTTCCCAGGCAGTCTCCAATCCCAGTGCTATCCAGGCTCAGGCCTGCTTAGCTTCCGAGATCCGACGAGGCCTGGTACGTTCAGGGTGAATTTTCATTCAGGGCGATGAATGAGCACCATGTCCAGTGTTAACGTAGCCAGCAATGAATAAATGAAAGAAATCCCCAAGAAGAATTTCACTGCAGTTCCACGGGTTGTCGCCGACTAGGCTAAGCCTAAAGTGCTGACTAAATCAACACGTCGACGCAGGCGCGAAACTAACGTGGGTTTTAAAAAAATTTTCATCGGATGTCCGACGATTCGCGCCCACGTGCCGGGGAGCCTCCCCACCCGTGAGGACGTCGGCGAGATCCGCCACGGGCTTAACAACCGCGAGCACCTTCGCGGGCAAGCGTCGGCGAGAGACCGCTTCGCGGGGTTCCGCGGCGGGCTCAAGGGGCGAGCCAAACCGACAGCGGGCTCCGGGTGCCGCCCAAGCAGATCCCGCGCCCGCCCACTGCTCGCCGCCGCGCCAAGACGCCGGTCCTTCGGCGCTGGACTCGCGCGGCGTGCGGCGGCAGAGCCGAAAGCGGCAAGGAGTTGCCGTCAGCAGGTTTGTTTGTTTTTGTTTAATCGGAGGTTGTCTTTTTTTTCTCCCCCCTAACTCGTTATTATCCCGGGGATGCTGCCACAGCGGGGGTAACGGTTAGCACGTCGGACTTGCGAGGGCGCCGGTTGGATTCGATCTCCCGGGCGCCGCGGTGGCGAGATGTTAGCTACCTCACCGGGTATGCAGGAGATCGTGGGTTCGATCCCGTCCCTGACGCTTGTTGTATATTTGGAATTTGCATGTTCTCTCTCTCCGTGGTTGCGTGGATTTTTCTCCAGGTCCTCTGGTTTTTCCCTCCACATTTAAAAACACGCATTTAGTGTGTTTGGCTATTGCTATACATTTCCACGTGATAAGCTGTTTGGTTCAGCTATCACTTGTGGCCAGGTCGCTTCTGAAAAAGAGCTACGTAGCTCAGTGTGCTTTCCGTGATAAAATAAAAGAAAATAGTGAAATTTGTTTTTATATAGTCTAAGAATGAGCAAATCTTATATACCCTTTCCCCCCACCTCCACCCTCCGCCCCACCTATCAACCCAGCAGTGTAATGGGTACTACACAGCTAGTTAATCGGCAGGTAGCACGAGGTAGGGTAAAGTGTGGGTACTGCCACCTATTATAAGACGTGCGGCGAACCGTGGATCAAAATACCCTCAGGCGGGGGTACGAGCCAGCGACTGCGGGGCTGCACCTTTGCCACCGATCCCGATTGTGCTTTTAGCGTCGCGTCACGGGACGCAGCATCCGCTCGGATCGCTCGCACAGCGGCGCGACCCTGCGCACTCGGGAACGCCCCCGTGGCAAAGCGGATGCCACAGGGGTGCCTTCGAGGTGACAATCTGGCACGCGCCCAAGAGGCCAGCACTTTTTTCACCCATCCTGCCATGCGAGAATTACAGTGAATTCTCGTTTAACGTGGTCGACGAGTTCCTGAAAAGTGCCGCGTTGAGCGGGGTATTGCCGCTCACCGAATCACATTTGCGCTTTCACATAATCAGCCTGCAGTCATCCCATAATGGGACAAACTGAGATGTCAGTGCAACGCCACCACGTTAATGTATCATTCCGCGTACTGTATCGCACCGCTCAGCCGTGCAGCTCAAGAAAGCATTTCGTCGTTGGCCGTTCCGCATTGTAACGGCGTGCGTTCCGCATTCCGTAAAAAAAAGTGTTTCCTAATAGAAGAACCGCGTGGTAGGGAAAACGCCCTTTGCGTGAACACGCCCGAAGCGAGGACTTACCGTACTGTTCATTTTGTCAAACAAAATGATCCTCTCAAAGCTGGAATTTCGCCAAAAATTACGCGATTGTGTTTTCTTGTTTATTTTTATTTTGCAGGGTTTGGATGGGTGACCGCAATGGACAAACAAGGTTGTCAATGGATATAGGGCTGCGGGTCTGCATGGTGGGCAGCAGTGAGCAGGTGCGGGAAAAAATTCCATCGTTCTGCTCTACCTCGACGATTCCATGTGGTGTAGTACGCTCCCCTACCTTCACCAAGCCGCGCTTGGCTGACCCGCATGGGTGACGTACGGTCAACTTAACCCCGAGGACCTGCGCAGACCGAGGGGTTGGGTCCTCGTCCAGCAGTTGGCAGATGCGTGGCCGTATACGCACGGCGCTCCCTCGCTATTCACGAGGGATACGCTCCGGAGATGCTCGTGAATGGCACAGTTCACGGACATTGACTTTGGCCGACGAAAACCTTGAATGAATACGCAAATAAGCTAGTACATACGTGAAAATTATAACATAATTTTTTTGGTAATAAATATTAAATATTATAAATAGATCACCATGGGACCTTTCTTGCCAGTATCAAAGATACTGCCAAGAAGTTGCCCTATTATAAATAGATATCAAAGGATCTCATCGCTTTATCTCTCACCACTTTCTTTCTCACTCTCTCTCTCTCTCGATGCAGATGCGTAGAGTTCCAGATGCGATTCGTGGATATCCAAAATCGAGGACGGCAAGTCCGCGTATAACGAGGGAACACTGCACCATGTACTGGAATTACGACGTTGAACAACGTATACCATACCAACCATGAGTCTGGGACCCACACGTCAAACCGACAGGCAAATAAACACACACTGTACGGATGGTAGCATGTGCCAGGGCCTCGAAATTTGGGGGCGTTACCAAACTCCGTGTCAGGTGAGACGACCAGGTGTGGCTCAACTTCATTGCCTCGGCTCTGCTTGTCAACTGCGTTGCGTTTGTTTTTTTTTTCCAGCCATCCCAACAAGCCAAAGTTCACGTACACGACGGCCACCCCGTCGATGATCTCTGCGTGCCGTTAATTCTACCACGGTTGACGGTGATCGTGATGACGATGATGAAGGTGATGATGGTGAAGGTGATGATAACGATTAAGGCGATGATGATGGCGATGATGCTGAAAGTGATCAAGGTGATGATGACGACGAAGGTGATGATGACAATGATGACAATGATGACAAAGGTGATGACGGTGAAAGTTGGTGGGGGGGGGGGGGGGCGGCGGTGGTACGTTGCAGGAGCCAGGGCTCACCGTCTGCGGATAGGATAGCGGTCTCAGTCGGTCGTAGTCCTCCTGCCCGGCTGTGTCCCACAGTCCCAGGTTCACCGGCTTGCCGTCCACCATCACGTTTGCCGAGTAGTTGTCGAACCTGGGGTCCAGAAGCCATCGCAAGAGGTGCAGTGGAGAGCACGGAGGCATGAGGATGTGTCGGTACAACCATCACAATGTGTGTGTGTTTCTATTTTCTATGAAGGCATTTTTTACGATATTAATATCATCGAAGTGCGGTGGGACTTTTCTTATCCGTGAAGAACTGTGGGGAGTAGGGGACAACTTCACGGATCCTGTCTGAAATTTCAGAAGCAGAATCTTTATTTATCCTGGAGAAAGGTTATATTCGCTATTAAGCATTTTTTTCACAGATGTCCAGTAGGGGCGGGTCCGAGAGTTACAACAACAACCAATACAAAAACACGATAGGAGTGCACAGAATAGGAAAGGTAAACAAATCACTAAATATAAATAACAAAGATAAAGTGTATGAATTCTAATACACAAGTCCACCAATTCCGAAGCTTGGCCAAGGCAGCAAAACAACAGCAAATACAGTTCCGGACCACAGAAAGACAAGACGGTGAGATGTTAACTATCTCGCCTGGTGTACATGAGGTCGTGGCTTTGATCCTGACCCTGACGCCTGTACATTTGGAGTTTCCCCGTGGTCGCGTGGATTTTTCTCAGGGTCCTCCGTTTTTTTCCCCTCCACATTTAGAATCAACGCGCGTTCCCGAGTATTTGGCTTCTATAAATTTCCACATGATAAGCCACTTCGTTGAGCTACCATTTGTGATGGCCAGGTCGCTTCTGAAAAATAAGCTAACAGCTCATTTTTACGTGGTCAAATAAAAAAATGTGTTTTAGTTTTTAAAAAATTGTCACCCAATGACCATTCGCTGGTGGGACACCTTCAACTTCCAAACGCGTGGCTGTGCCCACGGTAAGAGGACATTGCCAATGCCCTGTAGTTATGCACCGAGGCTGTGTGTCCCGGGCTACTTTACGCGAATCGGAAGCGTCGTCCATGAAATAAATAAACTAACACTTTTAAGCTACCGTCAAGCCATCGTTGCAACATTGAGTGATGTCACCGTGACAACGTAGTCAGTGGTCACCCATCGACGCACAAACGGGTTGCCACAGGCTGCTTCGGGGACACGCGGCAGGCAGCAGAGGGCAGTGCAGTAAAAGCTATTGTTGTACTGTACTTCTATGATCCGGTGTCTATGCTCCCCGCCCGAGCCAACCCGCACTGACCGGCGAAGTGAAGCATGGCCAACTAGCCCACCTCCCCCCCAAGACCCGCACGGTGTTGGGAGGCCTTTATCCAGCAGTGAATTGACCAAAAAAAGGGGGGCCCCGCACATTCTCCAAGAGCTTCGAGACGACGTGACGAGGGCGACCGCGGTGGTATGACGCGCCGTCACTTGGAACTCCCTCTTATTATAATTAACGGAGCTGAACGACTCGTGCACGGGACAGGCTGGCACACGCAGGGGCCCGGAGCACGCCCAAGGTTTGTTCGGAGGTGGGGGTAGGGGTCGACAAAGACGGCTGCTGGCACGGTGTCAGTGAATCACGCACAGGTAGCAGTAAAACACTGGGTAGAGGTGCAGCCCCTGCAATTGCTTGATCACGCCACTGCTTGGCAGAAGGGCCTCCACGAGACGGGAGATCTCGAGGGGCCTCTTCTAGAGGACATTTTTTGGCCCACTCTTTCACACCGATGCCTTGGGAGAGGTGGGAGTATCCACACTTTACCCCACCACACAAAACCAGCTGATCGACTGACCGTGTGGTGCAACCGTTCATAATGCTGGGCGGACGGAGGCAAGAAACGTGCCTATTGTTGTCTGCTGCCACGCCGGGAGATCAAACCGTGCTCAACTATTACACCACGGAAGCATCTCCATTAAAACTAATCATAACGCCTCCTAATTACTCACCGAAACAAAGCTTCACCGAGTCTCTGAGACTCTTTTTCAGGAGGGTGCTGCTACACTGTGCCGTACTTGTGTCAATTACATTCACGAGCGTGTGGCTACGGGCGGTGGAAAACCCGAGTGCTCGGAGGAAACCCATGTGTACAAGGGAATAAAGCTCAAGGCTCCACACTGAGAGTATTCAAGAATCCACCGCTGTGATGCCATCTTCTAGCCAACCGGAAACCCCAGGCCTACAACAGCGCTTGTTGTTTTTGATGCAGTCTCCATTCCATGTTACTATCCAGACTGAGTCCCTTCTTATCTTCTGGGATCAGTGGCATTCTGGACGATTTAGAATTCACAACATATGATGAATCGGCAGCAGCGTACCCATTAACTTACCAAGTCATGCAGTCTGCAGTGTAACACCACCACCACCACCCTCCCACTATTCGCTTACCCTCAAATCTCACGCTGGCACGAGAAAATCTCAAGATGTCTTTGCACCGGCTACACCTGCCATCCCTTGACATTTTCCCTTCCGTCTGCAGCCGGCTAAGCGGCTAGCGACGAGCGCTGTGGCGTAAGTGCAGCACGCTGGTCGCGGGGAAGCGCGGTTAACGAGCGTTTCCTGAAGGCCAAGACGGGCACACAAGGTGGCCGGGACCAATTGGCGGAAGGGCCTCAACAAGAGGAAGCTTTAGAGAGAGCCCCCTCTAAGAGAGTATTGGCCTACTCATCCACGATGGCCAGTACACGTCTTCAAAGAGGTGGGAGCACCACGTACTGTTCACAATGGAAAAGTTGCGATTTCGAATCCTGGTTGTGGTGGCTAACTTTGCCCATCATCCCTCTGGGGGGGTCGATAAAATAAACTGCACTTTTTGCGGACATTAACAGAGAGACTCGCCCCCACCACAGGAATGTGGAATTTCCACCACGAGTTCAGGGCTGTAAACAGGAAATGAGTACCAGCCTCGCTACGAATTTCAGCAGGAAATCGTGTTGGCCTGAAAGGGTTGTGATCACACAATGATATAATTGATATGGAATGTGTACCATTGTATCGAGTTGGCATGGATACATTGTATGCGGTAGATACGTACAGTGAGGGAAAAAAGTATTTGATCCCTTGGCTGATTTTGTACGTTTGTCCACTGACAAAGAAATGATCAGTCTATAATTTAAATGGTAGGTTTATTTGGACAGTGAGAGACAGAATAACAACAAGAAAATCCAGAAAAACGCATTGCTTCTGTGGACAGGTGTCTTTTATACAGGTAACAAGCTGAGATTAGGAGCACTCCCTTTAAGAGTGTGCTCCTAATCTCAGCTCGTTACCTGTATAAAAGACACCTGGGAGCCAGAAATCATTCTGATTGAGAGGGGGTCAAATACTTATTTCCCTCATTAAGATGCAAATCAATTTATAATATTTTTGACATGCGTTTTTCTGGATTTTGTTGTTGTTATTCTGTCTCTCACTGTTCAAATAAACCTCCAATTAAAATTATAGACTGATCATTTATTTGTCAGTGGGCAAACGTACAAAATCAGCAGGGGATCAAATACTTTTTTTCCCCTCACTGTATCCTCTGTACAGAGCCGGCTGAAATTAACCTCCGATCAAACATTAACCGGTTTGAGGCCGCTCAGTCAAACAAACCCAGTGGATGACTGACACCACCGCTCGGTGTGTGTGAGTACACTACATACGGATCATATTTGGACCGCAAACAGTCCAAGGGCTCATTATAACAGCACAAGCTTACGAGGGACCCACACGGCTGCTCACAAACACGGCGCTCGCTTTTGCACGTAATTTTTAATCAGTGTCGCGCAATGGCAGCCCGACCACCAAGGACCCGGTAACATCCCCCCGCCGTTGTAAATTGTGGTTCCGCCCGACGATTAATGGTATGAAAGGTGCGCGAAGAATGACGGGAGCATCGCGTGCTTTGGAAATTGCATTGAGAGGCGGCGGGGGAGAAGCTTGGGTCGAGAAAGAGTGCGCAGGTTGACGACGTCGCCCTATTCTTAGTTTTTTCGGTAAAGTCACGTTGAAGAGAAACAACAAAATAATAAAATATATATAAAACAAAAAAAATTCTCACGACGTGAGAATTTTCACACCTGAAGATGACCGTTTGAGTTATGGTCGAAACGTCGTGAGAATTTTTTTGTTTTATATATATTTTATTATTTTGTTGTTTCTCTTCAACGTGACTTTACCGAAAAAACTAAGAATATGAATTACTGCAGTCACGAAAGCTTTAAATCAAAATTTATGACGTCGCCGTAATTGACGGTTAAGAATCGTCGGGTGGCCTTGGGCCAGGGCATGCGATGGTTTTGCGCGGTGCACTATGAACCCAGGGGGAGACTGCGTTCGAGTCGCCGCCAAGGCAAACGTCAGCGACGAGCGCTATCTGAACCGCTCCTCGACCTTCTACCCTTCACCAGCCCTTATCGGGCAGGACAGTGAAGTATGGTCAAACAATTTCACCGCCCCCCCCCCGCCAAGACAACAGCATGGGACGGAGGTCTTCATCAAGCAGAGGAATGTAAGTTATTCAATTCTTTAAATAAATAAGAAATCAACTTTCAGCGCTATGTCGAGCGACACAGCGGGATGAATGCCTACCCCCACACATTACGGTCAGGTGGGTTGCGGTTGTTTGGACCATACTTCACCATCTTCCGAGGGATTGGTCATAGGCATTAAAAATGCATCCGTAGTCCCTTCTAATAGAATATACTGTGAGCAGAAGCAGCCTTAAACCACACACACACACGCAGCCAACCAACGAGGAAACCCAACCTTGCGTGTCCCAACAAGACTTCCTCACTGTGACAAGAAAACCACACGCATGCACAACTCCGAACTTCCGTGTTCACAGCCACCGGGCCAGAGATACACTCTGGGGGGGTGGGGGAGCGTGGTATGTCATCATTTTGGGGATTTGTCTTGAATGGAAAATTGAAAAGAAACGTGTAATAACTCTCGATTTATATATATCATATATAGGATAGGACTATTCGAGAATTAAGGAAACATATTTCTGACTAGAGTACTCTTGGTCATGATTATAAAGTCATGGTCAATCCACTGCTGGATGAAGGCCTCCCCAACCCGACACCATCTCTCATGATCCTGCGATGTAATAATCCACCCAGCAATTGCGCACGAGTTAATTGCATGGCTCCATCATCCTGGGAAAGACGTCCTCTCTCGGACACGTTCCGTTCGTTGCTAACCGCTCCGTCACATGTACGTATGTATTGTAGAACTTATTTCGCACCGTACGTAGCCAACCATGCTAATCGGAAGTGAGGAGGGGGGAAAGAGGGTGGGGAAGGACGACAAACTGTGATCGTCTGCCATAATCTCGTTCAAGCGACGTGTCCCGCACAGGCCTACTCAACTCGGTAAGAAAAAAAGGCTCCCTGGAAACGGGGAACAGAACGTGTCCGCTTTGTCCGAAGCGTTTAGCAGGGCGCGTCACGAACTGCAGCCCAGGGGTCGTTCGAGCTTGGGCCATTACCGCGTTGGCCTTATCGCGTTTCCCCGAGGAGGGAGGGAGTGGTTGTGTGTGCCATGTAGCCAGGCTGGGCGTGGTGTCAGTGTTTACAGGGGGGAGAGGGCCTCAGGAGAGAGGGCAAGAGGGATGGGGGGCAAGGGGGGGGGGAGGGTGGGGGGCAAGGGGGGGGGGAGGGTGGGGGGCAAGGGGGGGGAGGGTGGGGGCCAAGAGGGGGAGGGCGGGGGCCAAGAGGGGGAGGGCGGGGGCCAAGAGGGGGAGGGCGGGGGCCAAGAGGGGGAGGGCGGGGGGCAAGAGGGGGAGGGCGGGCGGCAAGAGGGGGAGGGTGGGGGGCAAGGGGGGGAGGGTAGGGGGCAAGGGGGGGAGGGTGGGGGGCAAGGGGGGGGAGGGTGGGGGGCTGATACTCCCATCCGCGTCACGGGGCAGCACGGCAACTTTAGCCCACGGCAGGACCGACTGCATTTTTGAATGCGTTCCAAGCGAGACCGAACGTGTTAATGCAGTGCAAAACTCAGTGTGGAGCAATGTGGCACGACAGCAAAATGTAAATCCGAACTCCATTGTTTATCTCCAGGTATAGATTTTTCATTTTTTTTAAAGGAATGAGCCTATCGACCTGTTGGGTTTCCAGACCAACCAGCCGGTTCAGAGGTTTCTTGCTTTAAACAAATTTCTGGTGTGGAAAGTCAAAGGGGGCGAAAGACTACGAACGTAATTACAATTTAAGTTTATTTTATGTTTCACTGATGATTCCGTCTGGCCAGTTTCCCCCACTACTTCGCACGGGAGATCCGTGGAGGGGGGGCGTGACCACAGCAGCAGCAACAACAATACCAAGACAGAAACATCAACAATTTCTGAGAACGAGTACAGAGTCTTCTTTGGTTCTTTCGGTAAAGTCACGTAGAATGAGAATAAAATAATAAATTGATAAAATAACACAATAAAATTCTCACGACGTTTCGGCCAAACCGTCGTGAGAATTTTATTGTGTTATTTTATTTTATCAATTTATTATTTTATTCTCATTCTACGTGACTTTACCGAAGTCACGAAAGCTTTAAATCGAGTACAGAGTCCTTATTGAATACAGCAGGCCTAACAAATACTGTCGAATAACAGAACAGAGTTCTGCGTGTGCCGTGTATGTACATTCATTAGTTCTGTTCAACTCTAGATTTGAAGTTTCCGTGACTGCAATGATCCATACTCTTTGGTTCTTTCGGTAAAGTCACGTAGGTAAAAATAAAAAATAAAGTTAATCAAATCACGACGTTTCGGACGACTACAGCAAATTACTTCTTGCTGTGACTATCCCACCTGATGACGGAGGCTTGTGTTGCTTCTGAAACGTCGTGATTTGATTAACTTTATTTTTTTTATTTTTACCTAAGTGACTTTACCAAAATAATCAAACGGTTATGTTTAACTGTCTGCCTGTACCGGGTGTCTGATGAACCCTCGGAAAGATAATCCGATGAGAAGGAAATCTGCGCGTAAAATTACGATGCTGCGAGGGACTAACCCTACAGAATACCGGCCAATTTAGTCAAAGTGCTGCTCTAAACGTGACAGCAAATTCCAGCTCTAAATGGATTAATTCACTTCATCGGACAAGGCGATTTCAAAGACTGTGTACACGTCTCGTCTCACCACGACATCATTACACGTGACATAACCTCGTGACACATCATCATCATCACCACCACCACCGGACATGAACAACCCACTGCTGAATGAAACCACCGGTCATTTATGAGGGTCCCCCTGTGATGTAACACTCCACCAGCACCAACATTCCTCCAAGTGACCTATCCGATCCAAGTCACCTTAACTTAAACATTCGGCGTGCATATATTCCTGGTGTTAATCACAGGGGCTAGATAGAGACTTCAACGGTGGGAATGTAGTTTTTTTTTAATCACAGCTATTTGTTTCCTTCACATTGTAACAGCCTTACTTATATATAGAGCACAGTGGAGTGGAGAAGGAAGACGGGCCGAGGGGAACAGTGGCGGCAACGGAAGTGATCGCGTGGACACTTACACGGTCGGAATGTATTCTCCGGGGAAGGCGTTTGTGGTGTAGCTGATGAGAAGACATGTCTTACCCACGGCACTGTTGGGAAGAAACGAGAAACAAAGACGCCGACGTGAGATGGAGCTTGCGCGCGTTATCAGTTGTCAGTCGATGAAGATGTGTGCAATGTCGGTGTCGGTGACGTGTGCGTCAAGAGTTGATGAACTTGTATATGACATTAAGGGTGGCGGGTTCTTTTTTATCTCTCCAAGTTTGATTGTTGGATTGTGTGCACGCAACGTCATGAAGTGTTTTGATGTGTGGGTTGAGGATGTGCGTGCGATTGAGTTGGTGCATGTGAGTCGATGTGTATGTGTGTGTGTGTGCGCGCGTCGGTGCATGTGGGTGTTGTATATGTGTGCAAGTTGGTGTGCAAGTTGCAGCGGTTGGCACACTGTGCTGCGAATCCGGCGACCCGAGGTGGATTCCCGCTCACGGCTAACACCAGTGACGAACATCTGAACTGGTCCTCGCCCTGGTCGACTCAGCCTTATCTTAGTACCTCGTGTGGCATGTAAACATTAGCACTGGGGAAATAAAGGTGGCCAGGCGTGGTGCTGACCACCACCTTCTTTGTGTGCCCTGCCAGCATTCATAGGTGCTTGCTAACATAACTTACCCCAACAGTATGTTAAAGGCTCTGCTGGGGACATTTCATTTTAACACGTAGGCTTTTGCGACCAATATCACCCATAATAGAGGTTGTTTTGGGTTAGATCGCGTATATTTGTCTGTCTTGCTAGCTTGTGTGATTGAGAGATTGGGAATGTGTTTTCTTGTTTATTAGTGTGTATGTTAGCACGTCTGTATGTATTAAACTAGGCATGTGCTTTGTTACTTATTCAGATTTTTACCAGGTAAGTCCCACTGAGCTATATAACTATTTTATTCAGACGCGACCTGGGCAACAAAACGATAGCTCCACGGAGTGGCTTATCACGTGTAAGCAGCCAAAGTTGAATTGGTTTAAATTATTCGATAGTGATGTGGCCTAACACATCACTATCGACGTCGCCGCTTATTCCAGAAGTTCACGGTTTGAATCCAACAGGTCGCCCCGATTAATACTGCGGTGTCTATTTACCGTAATATTACTACAGCCATCTGCATCCCAGAGTAGGCCAAATCTTTGCCGGATACATGGTCCAAATTTGCCCGATTTTTTTTTATTACATGGCAAATTACTCAAATGGAATACAAATCAACCTTGGCAGTACCCTCCTGGGTTAACATGATAAATAACAAAATAAGAATGCGTGCGAGTGTGAGTGTGTCTGCGAGGTGGTGTCTGATTTGGGAGATGATGGTAGTTTGAGTTTGTGAATGTGTGCGTGCATGAGCGCGCGTGTGCAAGTCTGTGCACGGGTACATCTCGCCCGTGTTAACACTGGCCAAACACGCTGCAAGACAAAACCCACACACACACACGCGCGCACCCACCCCCCACCCCCCTCTCTAGCCGCCTGCAACCGACAGATTTTGCAGAACTTCCTGATTGCGAAGTGATAACGTTTTTTGGCGCAAAGCAAAAAAAAAACGCCACCGGCGGAACTTCTCCAAACCGGGCCGAGCAGCACACACACACACACACACCCGGGGGTGATTCACCATCTCGTGCGTAGAAGTGTCGTAGCGATGACCTGCTACTCCCATGAAAATGCGAAAGCGCAGACCTGCAACTGCTCGACTCACGGCATTGCTGGCGGGAGGGTCTCCCGCTCGAGGGAGCTCGAGAGAGAGACGCCTTGCTCGAGGCTATTTGGTCTACTCGTCCATTCCTTTACTGCCTATCCGTCATTACTCTTGGCCATCGGACAAGTTCTACTACCCATTGCCACTTAGCTTTCCTTAACAGTTTTAGTTGAAAGTTGAATGATTGATCTGTCGCAGTCCGGGGGGCATTATCAATGATTAAAAAAACGTCAGGAGTAAGACATCAGCCCAGAATGTGAAACTGAAAGATGTGAACAGCCTGGGATGCGGTAGTGGAAATTCTACATTACTCTGGCGGGAATGAGTCGTGACATTATAGCCATTGACTTCCCACCACGTCTTGGTACTCATTTTATCGACCCGGAATGAAATGTTATGCTGGGTTCCTCCTCCCCACCGATTTGGATTTTAAACTCGCAACAATTATCGAGCCAGAACGAGAGCGAGAAGATTAAGGGAGTATTAGAATACGGCCATTCCGATGTACCCACTGTGATCACATACCGTCATCACGCTATCCACCACGAACAGCGCCACTATCACCACTAACAACACCAACAACAAGCACCACCGGTACCAAAATCACTACCAGCACCACCACCAACAATCACCAACACCACAACCAACAATCACCTACACCACAACCATCACTACCAAATACACCACACCTTAAATGCACTCACCAACACCACCACGACCGTAATCACCACAACACTACAACCAACGTGAACATCACTCACCACCACCACTAAATTCTCAACACGAATACCAAAACTAAGAATACGAATACCATCGTCAACACCATCACCGCCACCAACAATAACAACCACCACCACCGAGATGCCAAGTGTCCCTCTGAACGACGTGCTGTCAACATGTCGTCCCGTCAACACAAACAAATCTATAGTAATTGTGTACTGTTGTAACGTTCTTACCCCGTGCCCCTACTGGACATCTGTGGGGGGGGGGGGGGGGGGCTAAAAAGAGCTTCATAGCTCATCGGATTCCTCCAGTGATTACGATTCTGAAATCCGCTTTCCACGGGCCTTGAGCGTCACGCTGCCCGTGGCAAACTACTTGGTTCACCGACGACGAGCAGATGGGACACCATCGTAACAGACATGTGGACTGACGTTACATCATAATATTTGAGGTTTTCAGTAGGAATGTCAGTTTCAGCTCGCCAAGACCCAGCCCATCCAGGCCCTGCCGGCCGGCCGGCGTCTAAGGCAAATGCCCCCCCCCCCTCGCCCCCTCCCACGAAATCTTGGGTTCGAAAAACCCCAAGGGATGTGCGCTCAAGAGGGGACCCCACGGATTTGGGCTGTAGTCCCAATAGGGTTACGGGGATCAGGGTCCCCCAGTGGAGCCCGTGTGGAGTGAGAGATTTGGGGAGAGAGAGAGAGAGAAGTGAGGGTGGGTGGGTCGATTACGCCAATCAGCGCGCAGAAACTCACCCATCGCCGACCACCACACACTTGATAGCTTGCATTTCACGGGGCGACGGAGAGCGCAAGGGACGAGACGTCAAGGCGGCTGGGTTGGTTGAAGAGAGAGAGAGAGACAGACGGAGAGAGAGAGACGAGATCGAGACTGACGCTATGAGACGCTATAATGGGCTTTACCGCACAGGGCACACAGCTAAAACCCAGCCAACCAACCCAGCCCACCCCGCGTATTGATGGCTCGAGGCTGAGATGTGAGTCGACTTCCTCCTGTTGGCCCGGCTTGGGCTGGGCTGGAGAGGAGGAGGAGGAGGGGTGGAGGGTGGTGGTGGGGGGTGGTGGTGGGGGGGGGATGGTGGTGGGGGGGGATGGTGGTGGGGGGGGGCAGTGGCTGGGTTGGTTGCGGCGTGGGCGGAATGGATCCGCTCAAGGCAACCGGGGAGGCAGCGGCGCGGCCATCCTGCTCAGGGAACTTGAGGGCCCGTATCTGAGATGGGGATGGGGGGGGGGGAAGTCGCTCCTTTTGCCTGTAAGGTCATTGGTGTCCGACGAGGCTGACTCTGCTGCTGATGAGACACTGAAAGTTGAAACCTCCCCATGCATATAAAGATCTGGGCAGTTCGCCGGTATTAGTGCCAATCGGGCCTGACTCTGCTGCTGATGAGACACTCAATGGTGAAAGCTGCCCATGCATATAAAGATCTGGACAGTTCGCCGGTATTAGTGCCAATCGGGCCTGACTCTGCTGCTGATGAGACACTCAATGGTGAAAGCTGCCCATGCATATAAAGGTCTGGGCAGTTCGCCGGAATTGGTGTCCGACGAGGCTGACTGCTGCTGATGAGACACTGAATGGTGAAAGCTCCCCATGCATATAAAGATCTGGGCATTTCGCCGGTATTAGTGCCAATCGGGCCTGGCTCTGCTGCTGATGAGACACTCAATGGTGAAACCTCCCCATGCATATAAAGATCTGGGCAGTTCGCCGGAATTGGTGCCAATCGGGCCTGGCTCTGCTGCTGATGAGACACTGAATGTTGGAACGGGTCCTTGCCTGACAAACATCTGGGCAGTTGACCAGCATTGGTGCCAAGCGGGGTGGGGGGGGGGCCCTGACTACATCCGCGCCCCCTGAATGAGCCCCGGAGATTTCGAGGACGCGCTCGCTGCTAACAGGGCCTGGGAGTGGTGGCGCAGTGATTGGCGCACCACGCGAATGAATCCGGCGGCCTGCGGTTAAACTATCGGGCACGGCTAACGTCAGTGGCGAGTGGTGTTCTCATACCCGTCAGCCCATACGGTTTACCCCGTATTATTATACAGGGAGATTGTGTTTTCAGGTCCATACGGCGTGCAGCGGTTTCAATACGGGCAACAAAAACACGTCTTTGTGTTTCTCCCTTGTGATGGGACTTTGTAGGATGAACGCTGAGATTTATAAGGGCACGGGGTGACCAATAAGGTCTGAGTTGGCCCGTTTATAAGGTAGAGCACTGATAAGGGGTTGACGTGTATGTGTTCTGTCCTGTATTTGCACTGGTTCCCAAGCGTTTCTCGTTTTTAACTTCTCAATTGGCCACCTTCTGGGAATATAAATTATATTTTAAAATGTACATGTCCTCCTATTCCGGTAATATTTATAAACGACCAGACGTGTTACACATATGTACGCGTTGTTAAGCCGTCTATTTCGTTTAACAAGGTGAGAAATCAACAAGATACTGGGAAGAGTCTCATTTGCAAAAGAGACCCTGGGTCACAAAAACGACAAATGAAGATGCAGTCATCATTGTCATCATCCATGATCAATCCACCGGTGGATGAATCAAATCCACACACAAGCTCCATGAATTTCATCGCTCCATCTCCTCGGGGCGCGTATCTCTCGTATGAGCGCCTTGGAATACGGCGCTTTATAAATGTATATATATAAGACGATGCAATGATGTGGTTTAACACCTCGTAGGCTTTCGCGACTAATATTATCCATAATAGAGGTTTTTGGGTTAGATCGCGTAAATATAAATGTGTCGTTAAACCCGCCACCACCCAACACAGCCAATTAGCAAGGTTTGTCATGTAAACAAAACGTGCCAATTCGTTACTACTACAGCAACATCGGTGTGTATTAGAGAGTAAACCCACAACATTTACACAACTCTGGCTGTCGCCTGATGCTGCTGGTTGCTGTAACTACTCGCGAAACTTCGTACTCGAATTGTAAATGTTGCAGGGGGGTTTACTCTGCAACACACCGGTGTGTTGCAGAGTAAACCCCCCTACAGCATTTACACAACTCTGGCTGTCTCCTGATGATGCTGGTTGTTGTAATTATTGGCGAAACTTCGTACTCCCAATTGTAAATGTTGTAGCGGGTTCACTTGCTTGTACTTGCAACGAATCGTCAAGCAATTGTTGACGAAACGATTTATATTAACACGATCTAACTTAAAACGCGACAAAAACACAACCCTCTGTTGAGGACGACGGACGTTCGCTCTCGTTTCCCCGCGGTAAGATGGCCGACTAAGTTGACCTCGCGTTGTGATGACGTCGACAACCCCCCCCCAACCCCGAACAAGCTGCCGCTGCCTTCTTCCTCTCCCATTGGACCCACCAGCCCACGTATCCAATGGGAGAGGAAGAAGGCAGGGGTGGGGGCGGGGCGTGGAGTTGGGGGCGGGGCCGAGAGGGGAGATGGCAGCGGGGGGTGGGGTTGCCGAGAGAACCCAAAGGCAGGGCGGGCCCGCCGTCTTCGGAGACGTTCGGCTTTTTCCGTAAGGTAATTACGTCACCCAAGTTTCGCCGTTTGTGTTTCCCAGTGCAGATAAGGCGGGATGGGGGGGGGGTGGAGTCTGATCGAGCGCTGCTTATCAATTGTAGGAATTGTTACACGCGCTTGCGGAAGCCGCTGGCATTATTGGTCGCATTAAACCACCATGGGGGTGTTGTTGTTTTTTAAACACCGAGTTGAACGATGTTTAATTGTAATTAGCGTGCTTTGTTTAATTGGTTAAACAGTCTATTTTGCATATTCTATTTTTTGGGGGGTTTCCAACTTCAACTGCACATGTTTTAACCTTGTTTTTTTTCATTTGCACTGTTAAGTCTTTCAGTCTTATTTTGTGAGAATAATTAAAGCAAATAATAAAATCCATATTCTTAGCTCTTTCGGTAAAGTCACGTTGAAGGGAAACAAAATAAAAAAATATATAAAACAATAAAAATTCTCACGACGTTTCGACCATAACACAAACGACCGTTTGTGAATATGAATTACTGCAGTCACGAAAGCTTTAAATCAACATTTAATAAAAATCTAATTTAAAAAATCAGGGCAAACATTTTATTTAGTGGGTTGTTTTTAAAAAAATCAGATAAGAACCACTCAGGCATGTCGCTCTTCTCTTTCAGAAGAGACACTGACCTGGCCACAGCTGCTAATAGCTCAACGAAGTGGCTGATGCTGTTGTTCAGTGACTCATGCGGCCAGCTATGGCTGCAGGGTTTGGTGGTACACGTTGTTTATTGTGAAATTTCGTTCACAGTTCCTATGATCACTGTTACATTGCTTTTATGGCTTTATTTTGGTGATTTCGAAAATGTATTTTTTTGGTTTGGCCATGGTTGTTGTAGTACGGAGTTAGACCGATGGCCTTAATCTAAGTTGTCTTGTGGTTTTTGTTTGACTTGCATCCCACTGGGATTTGTGCGCACAGCGTTGGTGTATGGTGCTTTTTCTGGAAGATTTTTTGCTGTTTTTTCCTGGATTTTTCTGTTTGCGCGTAGTCACTTGAAGATGTTTTCTTGTTCGTGTTTTTGTTTGTTGCAGTTGCACCCGATTCAAGAGCCGAATGGCTCACAGGGCTATACCAAATAAATGAAACTGAGAAAACTGAATCACCATGTGTGAATTTAAAGGAGCCAAATCTCAACGCAAGTTGGTGAATGTTGGCGGTTCGTGGGTTCAATCCTGACCCCGACGCCTGCTTTATATTTTGAGTTTGCGTGGCCCTCTATCACGGTGGATAGATGTTAACTACCTCGCCTGGTATACAGGAGGTCGTGGGTTAGATCCTCACCCTGACGCCTGCTGTATATTTGGAGTTTGCGTGGCCCTCTCATCATGATCACGGTGGCTAGATGTTAACTACCTCGCCTGATATACAGGTCGTGGGCTTGATTCCGACCCTGGCACCTGCTGTGTGTATTTGGAGTTTGCGTGTCTCCCCGTGGTCGCGTGGATTTTTCTCCAGGTTTTCCCTTCACATTTAGACACCTGCGTTTGGAGTTAATTGACTGCTATAAACGTCCACGTGATGATAAGCCACTTCGTTGAACTGTCATTTGTGGCCAGGTCGCTTCCGACAAAAAGAGCCATATAGCTCAGTGGGCCTTACATGGGTAAAATAACAAAAGTAGTTTGGGATGTGTAGCCAGATGGAGGACGTTGTGATCAGCGGGACATGGGGCGGGGAAGAAGAGTTAAGAGTAATGAAAGCGATCCTGGCGCAAGAGCGAACATTCCGGGTGGCAAAACAAAAACTCAACACATGTCAATAAACAATTGTGGGTCCTATGAAGGGGGGCAATTGCCCGAAACGTCACATTACTTCGCTTTAAGGCCACAGTGTTGACAAATGTGTTGAGCATATTTCGTTAACGGATATCTAAGTATGTGGACATTGGTTAAATTCTGTTAGGCTCTATTCTAACGCTTCGAAATAACTGGCAAGTTCAATCGGGTCTTGACAAACACTTCCTCACAATTTCACAAGGTTCATAAAACACATTTAAAACAAAAAAACATCCAAGTAAAAAAATTGACAATTACCTTTTGATTCAATGTACAAAATAAGTCCTGGAATAAACACAAATTTCATGCCGCCCGCCCCCAACCCTGGACATTAAAAAAACCACTGAAATTCATACAAAAAAACTTGTCCGCGTTGACAGCAAAACACCATTGGCCATGTTTTTGTGAACTTTAACCCCCCGCAGCTATGGCAAGGTCTGGCCCAGCAGACACAAACTCTCATTTTGTTGCCAAGCAGAGGCTGGTGGCTTTATTTGTGAGTGCAGTCGAACCCGAGAGGTATCCCCCGGGGTAATGTTGGTGTGGGCCCTGAGAAGTGGTCAACGCGGATAACGCAAGACGTGTAAATTTGGCGACAAAATTAGTGAATGTGTGGATTCTCGCCGGTTGTGGTGTTGGGACAGTTCTGCCATGTGTTCGGTGTAAAGCACTGCGTGTTGTTGAGCGCGTCGTATTCGTTGTGTATGTGTTGTTTACCTGTGTAGAACATCCGACTGATTTTTTTATTGCTTCTTTGAATACTGTATCTACTTGCCATCGTCTTTCTATTCACGTGGGTGCTGAGTCGCCAACTCTCGAACAAGTGACGAGCAGCGACCGATTATGAACCCAGCATGCCCATGTAAAAAAAAAATGCAAGCAGGGTGAATCTGCCTGCGAGTAATCGATAGTTAATTATAACACTTAAGCATTGGAGGCGTGACATCACCACCGGCACATTCACTCAGCCACGCTGGTCAACAGCTGGAGCACGAGTCGGCATGACACGTGTTCGGGTGACCAGCGCTCTCATTCAACATCTTGATAAATCGATCAAGATGTTTAATCGAGCGAACCCAATTTCATTTACCCTGGGATCGACCAACTCTCGTCCATCTACACAGCAGTGCTGAGTGCAGATGACCGAGGCACGATTTGATAAACTGAGGCTACAATTTTTCTGAGAGGCTCAACCAGGACTCGTGGTGAGCTGGCAGGCCATTCTCTTTGTCAGACCCGCCCACTTTATCATGACCATGCCCACTCAACCACGAGCCTCTTAAACAGTTGAGCGGCCTATTTGACTCTTTTAGATGTTGGCCCCACCTACTGCTTGTAGGCCCCACCCACTACCCAGGTAGCAACGCCCACTACCAAGGTAGCCCCGCCTTCTGCCCGCATCGTGAGTTTAGCATGAGGCCAGGACATTTAGAGAAACCGGCAACAAAACCAAAATGTTTGCAAATGTTTCAAGTGGACGCTGAGAAATGACGTTGTGACACCACCGGGACCGTGTCGGCCAAACCAACACATTTGGTGGGCTGACTTATTAAGCTCGCGATAGTCGGGGTTAGATTGGGCAACAGAAACAGGCAGGGATATGCCCCGAGATCCATCCCTGGAGTCGGCGACGCCTCGTGTGCACTCGGTGGAGCCGAAATAATTTTGCGGCTGATTGAAGTTGAGATTGCGTCGTGCCAGTTCATGCAGTGACTCAATTTCAAGACCGCAGAACCCGGTCGCCCTGGTGATTTGATAAGAGGTCGGAAAAACAACGAGCAAACAGTGGGTTCTGTTTGCCAAAGAAGAAACGATTGCCGAGTGGCCTGGCAACACCCACAGACCATTTCCGATAGCGGTCTCCTCCGAGCGTCCACCAGGTCCCGGCTACGTCCACCTACAACTTATGCCCACAAGCAGGACCGTCGAAGGGGAAGGGGAGGGGGGGTGTGGGGCCCGGGCCCCCCCTACGCCGGTAGTATTACGTCTGGACGCCGTGATGTCGAGGTGCGGTGGGGGGGGGGGGGGGGGGGAGGTCACCCCGACTCGCCGTACCCTGGGGTCGGCTCTGCCTGCGAGGGTGGGCGGGGCCAGCGCGCAGGTGGCGCAACTGCACAGAGGCCCACGGGGCCGTAGTAAAGGGGGACAGGCACTGGGCTACGAAGAGGCACTGTGGAGGCAGCAGTGAGGGATGACGGATCGCCGCACAAAAGTTTGTGAAACTCCCTTCCCGTGGGGCGTCGAGGAAGTTGCCGTACCCTGGCATGCCAGGAGAAGGCAGTACAGCAGGTGGACTTTATCGCCGTCTGTCCATCTGCACGGGGATTGAGTGTTGCCCCCTCGCGTAAGGCGTGGATGGGTTTTTTTTTCGGGCGCTCCAGTCTCCCGCATATAAACACAACTCGTAAATAATTGGCTGAAAACGTCCTCAATAATCACCCAATGCAGGACCCTCCTCAAAAAGAGTCATACGACTCAGTGTGGCTTACCTGGATAAATAAGTTGTTGTTGTTATTATTACATAGGAGTGGGGTATGGGAGGGGGTGGGCGACTATTTAATTCCTACCATTCTTTTTGTATTGTTTGCTGTTGTAACTTGCTCACCTGCCCATACTGTACATCTGTGAAAAAGAGCTCCATAGGTCATCGGATTCCTCCAGTCTAAGTCAAGATTGTGATGATTCTGAATTCGCTGCACCAGGGCACAATGCTAACCACGCTGCTACGCCAACCGCCTTTCGCCACGGGCGCCCCCGCAAATTCGGCTCAGGTGCGCGCGTGGGCACTGGCGGCGAGGGGCGACAGCGCCGGCGCGCCGTGCAGGTAGGTGAGCACGGCGGCCTGCAGCCCACGGGCCCGCTGGGCCTCCTCCTCCCTGGCGCGCGTCGCCTCCGCCTCGCGAGCGCGCACGCTCTCGCGCAGCGACGCGATCTCGGCGTCGCGGTCCCGCAAGCTCTCCCTGTGGCTGCTCGCCTGGCCTGGGTGGGGCATGGGGGGAAGAGAAGGAGGCGGCCACGCAGTTATTATTATTATTATTTTTACCGTGTCCTCCGGATGTTAAGATGCTCCGCAACATTAGACGCGCCCCCCACCCATGGCGCTCGCACACCTCCGCCTTGCGCGGTGACAGAAGTAACTGAGCGCACGTAAACAATAATTGGACACGGGGCGCGGCGCGCATTGTTGGCGGGTATAAAATGATCGCCCCACCCCCGGAGTATCCGATCGGTGCGGCGAGGACGCTCGCAGCGACGGGTGGGTCAACGTCGTTTGCGGGCTGTTTGCAAGCCATCGGCCTCGTTGGGCCACGGGCTGCACGAAATGAAGTTGCGGGGACAAATCCCGCTCGTGCGCCTCGGATTCCCTGCCGCCAGTCTCCCGGCCGGGCCCACGCCAAGCCGGTCGCGCCGCCGCGAGCCGAGCGTTTCGTTGCCTTTGAGCTGTCGCTCCAGAGCGGCGATCTTCTCGCGCAGGCCCTCCTGGTGCGTCCTCTCCGCCTCCAGGTGTCCGATCTTCTCCTGCATCTCGAGCCGGACGCGCTGCACCTCCCCCGCCACCTCCTCCCGCTTCCCGGCCAGCTCCTGCACAACAGAGCACGACGCCACCCGTCCCCCCGTCCCCATTCGCGGTCAGAACGACGCGGCCTCGTCGCCGACTTAAGTCAGCGGACGAACGGCTCGGTTACAGGCCATTGTGGACCTCGTGAGACGGGGAGAGAGATAAAAACCCAGGCCCAGGGCTCAAACCCAGGCCTCACAGCAGGCAGGGCTAGGTGAGTGTCTCCGAAACGGACGTTGTGAATCCTCCTACCCACTCCGGCGTCACAGTTTGAGCAAAATACATTGAAATCACAAGTTACCATGGTGACGTACTGTAGATGCAAATGACCAATTCACCGTGCCTTGTGTAAGCCATGTACAAATGACCAACTACTTCGAGGTGCGCAATTTAGACTTGAAGTGCAAATTACAATTGTGACGTGACTGCGCGGTGCCGAAATCGCACGTGCAATTTATAAATTTGCGCGCAATTTCGATTGCAATCCCACACACCCCCCCCCTCCGTCACCGGGCACGCGAGCCTCACATGGCTGAGCTCCTCGGCGCGTCGTTTCAGCGCCTCCGCGTCGAGCAGGAGCCGCGCGTTCCTGGCGCCGGCGTCGGCGGCCGCCTGAGCGTGCTGGGCGGCGCGAGCCTCCGCCTCCTCACGAGCCAGGCCCAGCAGTCGGCACCGCTCCTCCAGCTGGGTCGTGCGCTGGCGCTGTCACCGCGGCACAAGCGTCCGTCCATCCGTCCGTCAGCCAGGGGAGACGGCGCTCCATCGCAGCAACGGTACCAACGTTGTTCATCGAGCGCGGCGAGTGTGCGGCTGTGGTCGTCCAGAGCGGACCGTGGCAACGTGTAACGACGCAACGCCGATCCACAAATACGAAGGGCGGAGACGTCACGGCGATACACTACTCCGCTGCTCCCGACGCGGTTATCTGGCTTGAGCACCTGAATGTGAAATTGTGGTCGTTGCTCTGCTTCTACATCAGCCGTACGAAATACGAGGAAGAAGCGAGCGTGTCGGACAGCCTGGATGAGTTGTCACCGATCATTGTCATCTCCCTCAATGGAGAGTTCACTCACGCATGAGAATCTATTCGCGTGATCAACCTCCACCGTTTAGCATTGCCCACCCTGTCATGTAGCTCCGCCCCCTGCCCTGTAACTCCACCGCCCTTTCCTGTAACACCACCCCTTTTTCCTGTAGCTCCGCCTCCTGTCACGAAGCTCCGCCTCCTGTCATGAAGCTCCGCCCCTTGTCATGTAGCCCCGCCTCCTGTCATGTAGCTCCGCCCCCTGCCCTGTAACTCCACCGCCCTTTCCTGTAACACCACCCTCTTTCCTGTTGCTCCGCCCCATGCCATGTCGCTCCACTCTTTCATATGGCCCCACCCCCCTGTCTCGTAGCTCCGCCCCACATGGCAATGCAAGCCAGGGCCACGCTCACCACCTGCAGTGGTGGCCTGACTGCGAGAGGACAGCGCCGCGGCCGCCTGCGGAGTGGAGGCTAAATAAACATATTTGTTATTGCGTCATCGCAGCCTCACGAGCCTTTGAACAAACTCCACCGCAGATCATTCGCGAAAAGGGGGCCAGAACACCAACGCAGAGAATCTCACGAGTGCCCCCCCCCCCCCCCCTACCACCACCAACTGCCCCCTCACCTCCCACCAGGTATTTCAAGCCAGTAGAGCAGAAGCGGCAGACCGGCTGCACAAGCAATGCATCGACCGTAGCGACGCTTCAATGGGGCGACGCTTCCAAGTCCTGTACGGACAACCGAGGCGCTCTCCCCCTCTCACCTCCTCGTGACGCGCCTGGCTCCGCGCCTTCGCGAGCTCCTCCTCGGCTCGCGCTCGCTCCGTCACGAGCGCCGCCCGGGCCTGGCACAGGTCCTGCGTCGTCGTCACACCGACGAGGTCGCTCGGCGTTAAGAGGCAGGGTCGCCACGGTGCGCCGTTGCGGCGATGTTACGATTGTGGCGATGCTACGCGATGCTGCGATGCGATACGTCGTACGTTATTACAAGATCCGGCACGTGCGAACCGTCCGTTTTTGTTTCGGGCGATTATCGTTGCTCGTAGAAAATCATTCACAAAAGCAGTTCGGAATAGCTGTTACCCATTCGATCGGCGCTTTGCAAACGATTTCCGGAGGAATTGATGGCGTGGTGTTTAAGTGATAGCATTGTGGTAGCTCATGTAACGGCGGCTTCATGCTGAGAGAACTGCAGCAGAAGAACTTTATCCATGCTGGGAGTACGGCAAAGTGCAGAATTACAGAGATGTAGCAAACTGATATTGCGATAATGACACTGCGAAAAGTCATCGCGTGTCGGATCGCGTCGATAAAATTTGATATCGCATCGCGAAACTTGATATTGTATGGCATTGCGCAATCCGGCATCGGATCGGATCGCGTTAAACCGACACCGCAGGAAACCCAAACGCTCACGGAACGACTCGGACCTCCTCCAGCGCCAAGCGGGTGTTCTCCAGCCTCTGTATGCGCTCCTGCAGACACCTCTCCGACTCGGACAGGTGGCGGTTCATGTGCTCCACCTGAGGGCAAAGGTGCATGCCACGCGGGCGGCACGGACGACGTGGTCGTCGCTACGGACGACACGGACGACACGGACGAACACGGACGCTACGGACGACATGATCGTCACTACGGACGACACAGTCGCTACGGACGACACAGACGCTACGGACGCTACGGACGACACGGACGCTACGGACGACACAGACGCTACGGACGACACGGACGACACGGACGACACAGACGCTACGGACGACACGGACGCTATGGGCGGCACGGTCACTAGGGACGGCACGGACACAGACACAGTCACTCCGGACGACACGCTCACTACCGGCGTGTGACACGCTCACTACGGACAGCACGGTCACTAGGGATGGCACGGCCACTACGGATGGCACGGTAAATCCAGACGTCACCCTAACTACGGACGGCACGGTCACTCGGGACGGCACGGTCACTATGGACGACGACACGCTCCGGACGTTGGTGCACAGATCGCCACAGGAGGGAAGCTGCAACAGGGCTAGGTCGCCCCTCCAGATTAGCACGGTTGGCTACGTATGGTGCGACGTACATACATACACATTCGTCGATAAACCGACAACAGCACGAAGAGAGGCCAAGGAGGTAGTGTGGCCCATGTGCTGTGAAGAAGGGCCATTCTCCGAAAAGTAGGCCATGATATACTTTTCTTTTTAAGTTCCCACACGGTATTACGGACGAATGTGTTAAGTGAGTGTTGTTGCTGTTGTTCACTGCGTTTGTGCACCACTGCCAACGCACCTCCGATTAGCACGTACGGTGCTCAAGAAGTTCAACGTACGTACAGTTTGCGTGCCAAAAGAACACAACCATCACTGTTAACTCGGGTTTCCCAGTTTGGCAAAATTTCCGGCTGTACAAATGAAAAAAAAATCTGACTGCCAACACCTGTCTGTGGCACTGCGCCGTTGAGCGACGGCCAATAGAATCGCGGGAAGATGCACGATTTGTTTTCTTTTGAACACAAAAGCAAAGCGAACGTTGTGCTGTCACCTCTTTTTGACGAAGGCTCTCGGCGTCTTCAAGGTTCTGCTTGAATCGCTTCTTCTCCTCCTCGACGCGCTCTGTAACACGCGGCCCGACGCCGCTCAGTTTACGTTCCCCGGGCAACGGCTCATCGGCCACAACCACTGAACGCTGCCGGGGTCCACGGAATCCACGTGTGACGTGGATACCCGATGCACAAAGGGGAGAATTAAAGACCTCTCTCTGTGTGCGACTGCCGCTACAAACTCCAAACCGTACACCATGTGACCTTGCGCTGCCCCAAATATTGATTTGAAGTCGGTGGGTGGGTGAGTGAGTGGGTGAGGAGCGAGTAGCGTAGCGGTTGGCGCGCTGCGCTACTAACCCGGCAACCCGAGTTCAATTCCCCTTCCACGGCCAACACCGGTGACGATTATTTGAACCGGTCCTGGGTTTCCCGTAGGTCGACTCAGCCACAAATGAGTACCTGGTGCGGTGTGGAAACATCGCCACTGGGGAGACAAAGGCGGTCGGGCGTGATGCTGGCCACCCACCTCCTCGTGCGCCGTTGCCGGCTTTCATAGGTGCTTGTTAACAGCACTTGCCCCTACAGTCTGTTAAGGCTACGCGGGGGATCTTTGTTTGAGGAGTGGGTAGAGTAGGTAAATCTGCAATTCACCAACTCTCAGCAACTAAATGGCTATCCAGCCGCTCTTCACTGGCCTCACGAAACCATCACTCGTCGAGGTGGACGGTGGCCATGGGTCAGCGCGGAGCTGAAACCCTGAGTTCGAATCCGGGCAGCCACCTGTGATCTAAAGCGGCTTCTTAAATGTGAGTGAACCCGATGGTCTCAGCCTGGGCCACCGATGGCATTCAATCACGTGTTCCTCTTAAATCCTCTGGAGCGGAGGCGTTGAAACGTTGGGTTTGGTTGAATGACGCAGGCGCGATGCACACGGCGGCCAGCCGCGGCGCCCCGTAAGTCCGCGAGAGCGGTGGGCAGCGGAGCGGAGGCGGAGCGGGGTGCGGTGTGGCTCACCCTCGGCCTGCGTGACTCGGAGGCGCAGGTCGGCGGCGCTGTGAGTCAGGTCCTGCTTCAGCTGGAAGATCTGCTCCTGCTGAACGTGGCACCTGCGCTCCAGCTCGGCCGCCTGCGGCGCAAAGGGAAACGGCCACGCGGGGAGGGCTCCAGCCGCGTGCGAGGGTCGAGTGGGAAGAGCTGTGAGTGGAGTGAGTGGAGTGGATTAGTGGAGTGAGTGCAGTAGTGAGTGGAGTGGTGGAGTGAGTGTAGTGAGTGGAGTGGTGGAGTGGTGGTGTGAGTGGAGTGAGTGGAGTGGTGGAGTGAGTGGATTAGTGGATTAGTGGAGTTAGTGGATTAGTGGAGTTAGTGGATTGAGTGGATTAGTGGAGTGAGTGGAGTGATTGGAGTGGTGGAGTGAGTGGAGTGGTGGAGTGAGTGGAGTGGTGGAGTGAGTGGAGTGAGTGGAGTGAGTGGAGTGAGTGGATTAGTGGATTAGTGGAATGGTGGAGTGAGTGGAGTGAGTGGAGTGGTGGAGTGAGTGGATTAGTGGAGTGGTGGAGTGGTGGAGTGAGTGGAGTGAGTGGAGTGAGTAGAGTGAGTGGAGTGGTGGAGTGGAGTGAGTGGAGTGAGTGGAGTGAGTGGAGTAGTGGAGTGAGTGGAGTAGTGGAGTGAGTGGAGGAGTGAGTGGAGTGAGTGGAGTAGTGGATTAGTGGAGTTAGTGGATTAGTGGAGTTAGTGGATTGAGTGGATTAGTGGAGTGAGTGGAGTGATTGGAGTGGTGGAGTAGTGGAGTGGTGGAGTGAGTGGAGTGATGGAGTGAGTGGAGTGGTGGAGTGAGTGGAGTGAGTGGAGTGAGTGGATTAGTGGATTAGTGGAATGGTGGAGTGAGTGGAGTGAGTGGAGTGGTGGAGTGAGTGGATTAGTGGAGTGGTGGAGTGGTGGAGTGAGTGGAGTGAGTGGAGTGAGTGAGTAGAGTGAGTGGAGTGAGTGAGTAGAGTGAGTGGAGTAGTGGAGTGTGTGGAGGAGTGAGTAGAGTGAGTGGAGTAGTGGAGTGGTGGAGTGAGTGGAGTAGTGGAGTGAGTGGATTAGTGGAGTGAGTGGAGTGAGTGGAGTAGTGGAGTGAGTGGAGTGAGTGCAGTAGTGGAGTGGTGGAGTGAGTGGAGTGAGTGGAGTGGTGGAGTGAGTGGAGTGAGTGGAGTGAGTGGATTAGTGGAGTGAGTGGAGTGAGTGGAGTAGTGGAGTAATGGAGTGAGTGGAGTGAGTGGAGTGGTGGAGTGAGTGGAGTGAGTGGAGTAGCGGAGTGAGTGGAGTGGTGGAGTGAGTGGGTTAGTGGAGTGGTGGAGTGAGTGCAGTAGTGGAGTGGTGGAGTGAGTGGAGTGGTGGAGTGAGTGGAGTAGTGGAGTGGTGGAGTGAGTGGAGTGAGTGGTGGAGTGGTGGAGTGAGTGGAGTGTGTGGAGTAGTGGAGTGGTGGAGTGGTGGAGTGAGTGGAGTGGTGGAGTGAGTGGAGTGTGTGGAGTAGTGGAGTGGTGGAGTGGTGGAGTGAGTGGAGTGTGTGGAGTGAGTGAAGTTGTGGAGTGGTGGAGTGAGTGGAGTGAGTGGAGTGGTGAAGTGAGTGGAGTGGTGGAGTGGTGGAGTGAGTGGAGTGAGTGGAGTGAGTGGAGTGGTGGAGTGAGTGGATTAGTGGAGTGGTGGAGTGAGTGGAGTAGTGGAGTGGTGGAGTGAGTGGAGTGGTGGAGTGTGTGGAGTAGTGGAGTGGTGGAGTGGTGGAGTGAGTGGAGCGTGTGGAGTGAGTGAAGTTGTGGAGTGGTGGAGTGGAGTAGTGGAGTGGTGGAGTGAGTGGAATGAGTGGAGTATATCCTTAGGGTGATCAGGGGTTTACTTTGGCGGCTCCCCGGTTGTGGAACTCCCCCACCATTGGAGATGTGGCTTTCCGAAAATACTGCTATCTTTAAGTCTCGACTAAAAACACGTCTTTATGACAGAGCAGCTTTCTTCTCATCGTTCACCATTGCCCTCTGACCTTTATTCTGCCACCCGGCTGCTTCTTCCGTTTCCTTTGATCCTCTCCACGCACGGTGCTGTGAGACGATCATTGTTGTGAACGTGCGAGACAATCGGTACGAACCATCATGGTTGTTGTTGTGTTTATTGGGGGGGGGGGGGCGGGCCTCTGGGCCCCGATGATCGGTGTGCCGCTCACCTTGTGCTGCAGCTCGATGTTGTTCTCCCGCGCTGTGCTCAGCTCCGTTTGCAGCTTGCCCTCCCTGCGGCTCCATTCCTGCGAGGAAACCGCGCGGCACGAAAAGCCGCCGGGCCGTAAGCACCTCTAGCGCATCGCAAAATGTTTCCCCCCCCCCCCACCCCCACTTCGCTTCCGAGTTTTTTTTAGCAGAGCTCTGATGAATGTGCCCAGTTTTCAGTGGGGGTCCGTCCCAAACAACGCAACTTTACACCAAGCTTTGTTCACACTGCTTCATCTTGATGAGACTCATTGTGCCCTTCCCCCCCTGCTTACGGACGGCACCAGATTCAGCAGGCGCTGCCCTCACCTCGCGTTCCCGCGCCAGCGTGTGCGCGTACGTCTTCTTCGCCGTCACCCTCTCGTCGTCGGTGCGCCGCAGCAGCTCGCCGAGCTCGCGCACGCGATGCTCCCCGAGCTTCGCGTTGGATTCCGACATCTGCAGCCTGTGGTGAGCGAGCGAGCGAGCGAGCGGGCGGGCGGGCGAGTGAGCGAGCGAGCGGGCGGGCGGGCGGTTGAGCGAGGGAGTGAACAAGTGAGCAGGCAAGCGAGCAGGCGGCCCAGTCAGCAAGTGAGCGATCGGGCGGGTGGGTAAGCAAGGCAGCGAATAAGTGAGCGAGCGAGTGAGTGGGTGGTCGGGTAAGCGAGCGAGTGAGCGATCGTTCGGGTGAGTGAGCGAGTGAGCGAGCAAGTGAGTGAGCGAGTGAGTGGTCGGGTAAGCGAGCGAGTGAGCGATCGGGTGGGTGAGTGAGTGAGCGAGTGAGCGAGCAAGTGAGTGAGCGAGAGGGCGGGCCAACGGAAGGACGGACGGACTTCATGCAATAACGTGCTCGATCTTAGTTGGGAGTGGAAAAGTGTTAAAAAGAAGTTGGAATCTCAGCAGGAGTGTCGGGATCTGTCCACGAAAGAGGGAAGGAGAGAGGAAGACGGAGAGAGAGCGTAGGAGAGCGGGAGAGAGCGAGACACACTCGCCTGGCCGTAAGCGCGTCGACAGCGGACTTTCTCTCGTCCAAGGCGCTGTGGAGCTGACCAAGGCGAGACACAGAAGTCCTGATCGCGGGAGATGAGGGGGAGGGGTGAGGATCACTGAGACATATTCACAGCTTCTCCCTTAACCTCATTTCCACTGAGAAACCGAGCCAGCCCGACACAGGTCAAGACGCTCAAGGTTGCTTTTCCACTGCAGAAACCGAGCCGTGCTGCCCGGTCGCAGGCCAGGTGCCAAGTTACCTTGTTGCCGCACAGGGGCAGCTGTCACTGGGGGTGCCCTTTCAAACCACGAGGGCGAGATGGTAACTATCTCTCCTGGTATTCAGGAGGCCGTGGGTTCGATCCCAACCCTGACACCTGTATATTTGGAGTCTACATGTGTCTTCCCCCTGTGGTCGCGTGGATTTTTATCTACATTTAGAATCAACGTGCATTTAGAGTATTTGGCTGCTATCAATTTCCACGTGATACGTCATTTCATTGAGCTTATCATTCGTGGCCAGGTCGCTTCTGAAAAAGAGCTACATAGCTCAGTGGCCCTTACCTGGTAAAATAAAAATTAGTTTCGCCTTAGTTTAAACGTTTGAGATGTGTAAGTCACCTCGCTCACGTACAGATGCAACGGGCGCAAGGCAGGGCGCTCTATCCGAAACAAACCATTGCAAACATCGTGAGTGGTCACGGGTTCTGCCCCGTGGTCCGTGGGGATCAACAGGCTAGCGCAAAACGCGCTGCACTCAAATCCACCCACGTTTCCCTCTCGTTTGTGGATTCTTGTGCGGAAAAACGGAGGCTGAAAAGTGCACAAAGAAGCGCAGGAGAGAGGCTACGGCGGTGCACGCATGGAGTTACAAGGGCGAGGCAGAATGAGGAGCACGGGGGGTAGAGGTGAACACACGGGAGGTGAACACGCGGGAGGTGAACAGAGAGGTGAACACGCGGGAGGTGAACACGCGGGAGGTGAACACGCGAGAGGTGAACACACAGGTTCCACACGTGGTCACCACAGGCAGGAAGCGTGAGCGGAGTTGGGCAGGACGCAGCACAAGGAGGGAACGCTACAGAGAGAACTGCCACCAGGACCATGAGGGATGGCCAAGGCTTGGTGAAGACTTCATCCAGCAGTGGATTGATCGTGGCTGATGACGATGATGGTCACGATTACACCGAGGGACTCTGATCGAGACTGGTTACGTGTCGCTGTGGGTCTCGATCACAACAAACCAAAGGCAAAGATCCCCCCGTATAGCCATAAAAAGAGTGCAGGAGCAAGTGCTGTCCGCGATCACACGCACACAATTACACGCTCGCTCACCTGTTAGACCGAGCCATTTCTTCCTTCTGCCTCTCAATGGTGTCCATCAGGTCCAGGAACTGAAAAAGAAAACCAAGTCAATGTAGTTAATTTCACAATCGTTTAACTACAGTGGCACCTCGGTATACGTCGTTAATACCTTCCAGAAGGTAGGAGGACTTGTACCGAAATAAAGTGAAAGGAAATAATCCATTCCAGAGTATAAGAAATTATATTTTATATGGCATATTAAACATTAATGGGGTTGTATAAGATAATGTAGACACTACTTATTACTAAAATGCATACATACATTAAAATAAATGCATAAATCAATTAAAATAAATTGAAATAGTGATCCTAAGCATTTTCTTTGTAGCTTGGCTTTTCTCACTAACTTCTTAGGACCCATCCTGAATGAATTCGCGAAAAATTAACATTAAAATGACAAAAAAAACACGTCAAAATTCACAGAGAGTTACAGCAAGTGTTGGGCACTGAACGAGATCTACAGGCAGACTGAGGAGCGGCGCTTTGTTTCAGTCGTGAACGGGGTCTACGCAGAGACGCGGTGACTCATCCCGACCCATACAAGTTCTAGCAAGCGCGGTGTATCTCAAGCAAGACGTCGTATCCCAAGACATTTTTATTTCTCGTCAAAACACGACGTGTACCAAATTCGACGTATTCCAAAGCGGTCGTATACCGAGGTATGACTGTATATCAAATTCCAATTGTGTTGTCGACAGCGGTGGCTATGTGCCGGTATACCGCGGCATGTCATACCAGAAATTCTCACAACACCAAACAAGTGTACTGGCATTGCTCAAAACGGTTCCAGCAGCAGCATCAGCAGAAACGGTAGCAACAGCCGCAGCAGCAGTAGCAAAAGCAGTGGCATCAACAGCAGTGGCATTAGCAGTAGTAGCAGGAGTGTCAGCAGCATCAGCCAGCATCAGCAGTCGCAACAGCCACAGAAGCAGTAGTTGCAGAAGCAGCGGCGTCAGCAGTAGCAGCAGCAGCAGCACAATCAGCAGCGGCAGCGTCAACAACAGCAGAAGCAGCGGGACCAACATCAGCAGCAGTAGCATCAGCAGCAGCAGCAGTAGCATCAGCGGCAGAAGCAGCAGCAGCAGCAGCGTCAGCAGCATCAGCAACAACACCAGCAAGCGTAGACAGTAGTGGCAGCAGCACGGAGCAGCACCTGCTTCTTGTGTTCGTGCTGCAGGTGGCCGATCTCGCGCGTCAGCAGCTGCGTGCGTCCCTGGGCCTCGCGCGCGCTGGCGTTGCGCTCCGTCGTGCGGCACACCGCCTGCTCTGCACCGCCACGCGATGTCATCACGCACGACAGGAGGGTACGATTCCAATGTAATTAATCACGAGGGGGGGGTGGGGGGCACAGGGCACCGGCGGTCTTGACGGGGGGGGGGGGGGGGGGTCCAACGGACCAAGCGAGGCTGGGTAACGTTGTCTCTACAGGGATGGAAAATTGAGAATGGCCCACGGTGCAATTGAGGTAGGAATTGGTGGTGCAAGGAGCAGTCTCGATGCAGGGGGCAGTATCGGTGCAGGGGGCAGTATCAGTGCAGGGGGCAGTATCGGTGCAGGGGGCAGTATCAGTGCAGGGGGCAGTATCAGTGCAGGGGGCAATATCAGTGCAGGGGGCAGTATCAGTGCAGGGGGCAGTATTAGTGCAGGGGGCAGTATGGGTGCAAGGAGCAGTCTCGATGCAGGGGGCAGTATCAGTGCAGGGGGCAGCAGTGGCGGTGGCGCCGCTCGGTACCCATGGCCTTGATGATGTCGCTGGGGATGTTGTTGCCGGCCGCTTCGAGTCGCACGAGCGCGCGGTTCTGCAGAAGGCCCTCGAGCAGCGCGCGGCCTCCCAGCAGCCCCAGGTTGTTCCAGCGCAGGTCTGGGGGTTCACGGCCGACACACACAAACCCGTGTGTCGGGCGATGGTGGTGGTGGCGATGACGGCGATGGTGATGATGGTGGTGATGGTGGTGGTGGGAGCGACGGTGACGATGGTGGTGGTGACAATGGTGGTGGCGATGGTGGCGATGGTGGCGATGGTGGCAGTGATAGTGGCGATGGTGGTGATGATGGTGGTGATGATGGTGATGGTGGTGGTGATGGTGGTGATGGTGGTGGTGATGGTGGTGATGGTGGTGGTGATGGTGACGGTGGTGACAGTGGTGGTGAGGCCTCACCGAGCTCCTGCAGGGTCCCGTTTCGCCGCAGGGCGGTGGCGATGTCGCCGGCGCCACGAGCGTCGATCTGGTTGTTGCGGAGGTCGAGCTGCACCAGCGAAGAGTTGACCCCGAGCGACTCGGCGAGCAGCGAGAAGCTCGCGTCCGACACGCCCAGCGAGTTCCACTCGAGGATCAGCCTGAGAGCGTGCGAACGCGTGCGTTACAACAGCATTGGTGAACTTCTTTCGCACCCTACGTAGCCAACCGTGCTAATCGGAGGTGCGGGGGAAGGACACCAAAACCAAACGTAAAAAGGCAGTTGTAAAGAAATGAGTTTTCAATCTAGATGAACAAGTGCAAAGCTGCAGTGGTTTTCCTAACGTTGGAAGGAAGAGCGTTCCGGACGGGCGTTCGTGCGCATCCCTCACCGCTGGATGCTGCCGTTCTGTCGCAGGAGCTTGGCCAAGGCCTCGGCTCCCCTGCCTCGGAGGTTGTTCCCCTGTGTGACGCAGCGGCACGCGCGAGACACGGGTCAGCCGGGCCGCACGCGAGCGCAGGGTGTCAGTGGGATGCGGGTTTCGCGAGTGGACCGATGACGATGGTGATGATGATGGTGTTGGTGGTGGTGGTGGTAACGAGGCGAGGGCGACTGTCGTCACCTTCAGGTCCAGCACTCGCACCCTCACGTTGGAGCAGAGGCCCTGGACCAGCGCCGCCGCTCCTGCACGCGCGCAGGAACCGCACCGCCCACCGATCGATCGATCGTTCGTTCCATCCACGAGCAGCAGCGCGGCGCTATCAACCGACGATCGATGGCATCTCGCGACGGCCGCTCGTGATTCCTCGTCGCGCACGCGCGTGGGATTTTCCCTTCAGGAGGCTCCTAAGACTCCATGTGGCTTTGCTGCATAAAGCAGTAGCTCAGTACAGTGGTACCTCGGAGATGGAACTTAATTCGTTCCAAAACCCGTGTTCGAACACCGATTTGTTCGAACACCGAATCAATTTTCCCCATAAGAATGAATGGAAATAGCATTAATTGGTTCCCCACCCAAGGATGCTCCTATTATGGGCCATTTTTACACAAAGTTTACAATATTAAAATACAGTACAGTACATAAAAGCATAGAAAAAACCAAGAAACACAGATAAAAATAATAGAATAAATGAACATTGAACGTCACTTTACCTGTAGTAAGGAGAGTGGATGGCTTGAGTGGAAGGTCGTGAGGAAAAAGTTAACGGAACGATGTTTTGCGGGTCTGCGCACTGGGCGAGAGCTACGCGTAAACTGGGTCATTCGCCTTTGTCTCGGTCGCCCTGGTTACGCGTCTCGGTCGCCCTGGTTACGCGTCTCGGTCGCCCTGGATACACGTCTCGGTCGCCCTGGTTACGCGTCTCGGTCGCCCTGGTTACGCGACTCGGTCGCCCTGGCTACACGTCCCAGTCGCCCTGGTTACGAGTTTCGGTCACCCTGGCTACGCGTCTCGGTTGCCATGGCTACGAGTCTCGGTCGCCCTGGTTACACGTCTCGGTCGCCATGGCTACACATCTCGGTCGCCCTGGCTACACGTCTCGGTCGCCATGGCTACGCGTCTCGGCCCACGCAGCTTCTTTCGAGTTGTTCGACCTCCGAATTTTTGTTCGATGTCCGGGGCAAAAAATGGTCGAAAATTTTGTTCGATCACCGAATTGTCCCGAGTTTTGGGGCGTTCGATCTCCGAGGATCTACTGTATAACTATTATTATTCGTATCAGAATCTGTATTTATCCTGGAGAAATCCGATGAGCCAATGAAGCTCTCTTTCACAGAAGTCCAGTAGGGGTGGGGAATAAAGTTACAACAAACAATGCCAAAAAACGATAGCAGTGCAAAAAAATTACAAATTACATAAGTTCAAATTGCATAAGTACACCAATTCCCAAGCTTGGGCAAGGCAGCAAAATAGCAAACACGGTCCCAGACCACACCAAGACAGCACACAGTCCCTCAATAAAATTGCACGTAAAATATATCACTATTGATACATGGGTAATCTGGTGTCCCCGTAATCGAGCGACGCTGTAGCCCAGGGAGTTTAGTTTGTTGTCCTTCGCCACACCTATGATGAGCGCGGGTAACTACGTATTGTGCGAAAGAAGTTCAACATACATCCAAAACGATAAAGTAATTTAATTTTACCAGGTAAGGTCCACTGAGCTGTGTAGCTCTTTTTCCAGAAGCGACCTGGCCACAAATGATAGCTAAACGAAGTGGCTTATCGTCGCGTGGAAATTTATAGCAACAGCCGAATACTCGAAACGCACGCTGTTGATTCTAAATGTGGAGGGGAAAAACCGGAAGACCCGGAGAAAAATCCACGCCACCACGGGGAAAGAGAGATAAACACGCAGCCCTCCAAATATACAGCAGCAGGCGTCAGTGGTCGTGATCGAACCCACGACCTCCTGTATACCAGGCGAGGTAGTTAACATCTCCGAGGGGTAACCCGCCGCGTCGCCCGCACCCACCCTCCTCGCTGAGCATGCAGTCGGCGAGCGACAGCTCCGCGAACAGGGAGTCGTCGGCGAGCGCCCGTCCCAGCACGGCGCAGGCGTCGGCCGGGATGCCCTGCCCGGCCAGGTCGAGGCGCGCTCCCTCCGAGCCGCCGCCACCGCCGCCGCCGCCTTCGCTCGGACCGTCCTCCCGCATCTGCCTCAGCACGCAGTCCAGCGGCTCCTGCCGCCCCTCGGTGCACAGCGCCACGTAGAGGCGCCGGAGCGCGTCCATCGTTGCCGTTTTGTCGTCGCCGCCGCTCACGTCTCTCCCTCTCCTCTCTCTCTTCTCACTCCTCTCACTCTCTCTCTCTCTCACACTCTCACTCTCTCACTCCCTCTCCTCTCACTCTCTCCTCTCTCTCACTCCCTCTCCTCTCACCTCTCAATCTCTCTCACTGTCTCACTCCTCTCACTCTCTCTCCTCTCACTCCCTCTCCTCTTACTCCCTCTCCTCTCACTCTCTCTCACTCTCCTCTCACTCTCTCACTCCTCTCACTCTCTCTCCTCTCACCTCTCACTCTCTCACTCCTCTCACCTCTTACTCCTCTCACTCTCTCTCCTCTCACTCCCTCTCCTCTCACTCTCTCCTCTCACTCTCTCTCTCACTCTCACTCTCCTCTCACGCCTCTCACTCCCTCTCCTCTCACCTCTCACTCCCTCTCACCTCTCACTCTCTTTCCTCTCACTCTCTCCTCTCACTCTCTCCTCTCTCTCACTCCCTCTCCTCTCACTCCCTCTCCTCTCACTCCCTCTCCTCTCACCTCTCCTCTCACTCTCTCACTCCCTCTCCTCTCACCTCTCACTCCCTCTCCTCTCACTCTCTCACACTCTCTTCTCTCACTCTCTCCTCTCTGTTGGGCGCCCGGCCTGATTGTCCACCACCGCCGCTGCGTCGCCCACACGCCCGCCCGGTAGCTGCTACCTGTGCATCCCTAACGACATCATTGCATACGCGTCAACCCCTTACCAGTGCCTTACCTTATTACAGACCAACTTAGACCTTATCGGTCACCCCGTGCCGCTTATAAATCTCAACGTTCATCCCACAAAGTCTTATGACAAGGACAGAAACACAAACAAATTGACAAATCATGTGTTTGTCAGCATGAAAACGGCCGTACGCCGCATAGACCTGGAAATTCAATGTCCCTGTACAAGAATACGCGGTAGACGGTATGGGTTGACAGGCGTGTCATTGTGAAAACAACAAAAAAACAATGCCAACGAGATGGCAAAACCACAAGACAAGTTACACTGTTACAATTCTGACGAGGTGTACAGCCCTTGCGTGTCAATCTACTGCTGGATGAGGCCCTCCCCACGCAGCCCCGAGTCACGAGGGCTATCGTTCGACCGCGCTTGGCCACGTTGGTAAGCGCGGTAACGGGTCGTGGAACCGCTCTGGGCACCGTGAGCACTCGGCCTCTTCACGGCGTTACCATCGCTGGGATGTCCCCCCACTTCGTTCGCTGTCGTCGAATCGTCCCCAGTGTCCAGTTTACCTCGTTGCGGTCGCGGTGTTCACACCACGCCGTGGCGGAGAGCCCGGAGCCGTTTAACGCCAACGCCGCGACCCACGCCGTTCCCATAGCGCCGCTCCTACCTACCCACCCACCCCACCCACCCCTCTCTTCGCGAATCCCAGCGGGCATCGCCGCCCGCACAGAAGCAAAATTTCCACAGTCCCTCTCTGCTCATCCTGGCGGGCATCACCCCGCCCTCACCAACGTGCAGTGACCCAGCGTGGTGAAGTATGGTCAAAACAAACCCTCGGCCGCCAATGGCCCGAACGCTCGCTCGCTGTGCTCTGCTCTGGAGCCGGTGGCGCAGTGGTTTGCAGGCTGCGCTGTGAGCCGGGACTACCTCGAGTCGGATTCCCGAGCGCTGACATGAAAGTGAGAAGTTGTGAATAAAGATAGGGCTTGGGTGTCTTATCTGGTTGGCTTGTCCCATCGCCACATGAATAACCTCTTGTTGTAACAGCTCTCTCGCTGGTTCAGCAGTTTCCACTGCTGGATTATTTATCACACCTTTAGGACGACCGCTTGTGTTGCGATCGAAACGTCGTGATATATATTTGTTTTGTTTTATTTTATTTTCCTACCCACGTGACTTTACCTAAAAATAACCAAAGTGTGTGGATTCCTGCAGTCACGAAAGCTTGAAATCAAGAGGGGTATAAGAGTTAAGAGTTGTTAAGAGGTTAGCGCGAGTGTGTGGCTTGCAAGTTGGTTAGAGTTTGGCGTAAACATATGTACGTTCAACTTCTTTCGCGCCGTACGTAGCCCAGCGTGGTCATCGGAAGTGCAGACAACAAACTAAACCCCCCCACCGCCAACCCTCAACGTCTGCGCGTCTCGCCCTCACCAACCCGGGCGTGGCGACGAGCGTCCTGACGTGTGGCCACGCACCAAACCTCTGCACGAGTCACGAGCGGAACTCGGGCTCGCCATGCGAACGTGGAGTTGCCAGAGAGGGCCGTAGGAGGAAGCAGAGAGAGAAGAGACGGCGACTTCCCCACTTGAGTTTCACGTGGCCTGCGCCTGTGCCCGGGCAGTCAGCTGTTTCCGGTTGCAACGGACGAGCCGAGTGACGCACGTCCGGGGGTTCCCTCGTGGGCGGTGAGAGGGGATTCCCCCGGCCCGCCCCACCACCGTGTAAAAATAACACAAATTTGTGTGTCATGTGTTATGGTCGAAACGTCGTGAGAATTTTTTGTATTGTTTTATATATATTTTATTATTTCATTGTTTCCCTTCAACGTGACTTTACCGAAAGAGCTAAGTATATGAATTACTGCAGTCACGAAAGCTTTAAATCAAAACACCAATCTTATTTTTTTACTAAACGTTATCGTGGGGAGATTTAAAAACTGCCTTTAAAAGGAAAATAACGATAAATAGGTGACGTTTCAGGCAATGGCCCTTCTGATCTTCATGGCACGTAAACCACAGCGTGTATTTCGCTCTCTGGGTAACAGTGAGAGCACGTGGGCTCAAGTGCATTGTGTTTTATCAGCGCCGACTGTTGTAATTTTAGAGGTACAGTACTGTCTAGTTATAATATTGTTTATTTGTGTGGTGACGTCACCGCCACTTAGTGGCGAATGGCGGTTGTTGTTGTTGATGTATGAAAAAGTCAGTGTATGATGTGTGAGTGAGTCAGTGTATGATGTATGAGAAAGTCAGTGTATGATGTGTGAGTGAGTCAGTGTATGATGTGTGAGTCAGTGCATGATGTGTGAGTCAGTGTATGGTGTGTGTGAGTCAATGTATGATGTATGAGAAAGTCAGTGTATGATGTGTGAGTGAGTCAGTGTATGATGTGTGAGTGAGTCAGTGTATGATGTGTGAGTGAGTCAGTGTATGATGTGTGAGTGAGTCAGTGTATGATGTGTGAGTGAGTCAGTGCATGATGTGTGAGTGAATCAGTGTATGATGTATGAGAAAGTCAGTGTATGATGTGTGAGTGAGTCAGTGTATGATGTGTGAGTCAGTGCATGATGTGTGAGTCAGTGTATGGTGTGAGTGAGTCAATGTATGATGTATGAGAAAGTCAGTGTATGATGTGTGAGTGAGTCAGTGTATGATGTGTGAGTCAGTGCATGATGTGTGAGTCAGTGTATGGTGTGAGTGAGTCAATGTATGATGTATGAGAAAGTCAGTGTATGATGTGTGAGTGAGTCAGTGTATGATGTGTGAGTCAGTGTAAGATGTGTGAGTGAGTCAGTGTATGATGTGTGAGTGAGTCAGTGCATGATGTGTGAGTGAATCAGTGTATGATGTGTGAGCGAGTCAGTGTATGATGTGTGAGTGAGTCAGTGTATGATGTGTGAGAAAGTCAGTGTATGATGTGTGAGTGAGTCAGTGTATGATGTGTGAGTGAGTCAGTGTATGATGTGAGTGAGTCAGTGTAAGATGTGTGAGTGAGTCAGTGTATGATGTGTGAGTGAGTCAGTGCATGATGTGTGAGTGAGTCAGTGTATGATGTGTGAGTGAGTCAGTGTATGATGTGTGAGTGAGTCAGTGTATGATGTGTGAGTGAGTCAGTGTATGATGTGTGAGTCAGTGTATGATGTGTGAGTGAGTCAGTGCATGATGTGTGAGTCAGTGTATGATGTGTGAGTCAGTGTATGATGTGTGAGTGAGTCAGTGTATGATGTGTGAGTGAGTCAGTGTATGATGTGTGAGTCAGTGTATGATGTGTGAGTGAGTCAGTGCATGATGTGTGTGTGAGTGAGTCAGTGTATGATGTGTGAGTGAGTCAGTGTATGATGTGTGAGTGAGTCAGTGTATGATGTGTGAGTGAGTCAGTGTATGATGTGTGAGTGAGTCAGTGTATGATGTGTGAGTGAGTCAGTGCATGATGTGTGAGTGAATCAGTGTATGATGTATGAGAAAGTCAGTGTATGATGTGTGAGTGAGTCAGTGTATGATGTGTGAGTCAGTGCATGATGTGTGAGTCAGTGTATGGTGTGAGTGAGTCAATGTATGATGTATGAGAAAGTCAGTGTATGATGTGTGAGTGAGTCAGTGTATGATGTGTGAGTCAGTGCATGATGTGTGAGTCAGTGTATGGTGTGAGTGAGTCAATGTATGATGTATGAGAAAGTCAGTGTATGATGTGTGAGTGAGTCAGTGTATGATGTGTGAGTCAGTGTAAGATGTGTGAGTGAGTCAGTGTATGATGTGTGAGTGAGTCAGTGCATGATGTGTGAGTGAATCAGTGTATGATGTGTGAGCGAGTCAGTGTATGATGTGTGAGTGAGTCAGTGTATGATGTGTGAGAAAGTCAGTGTATGATGTGTGAGTGAGTCAGTGTATGATGTGTGAGTGAGTCAGTGTATGATGTGAGTGAGTCAGTGTAAGATGTGTGAGTGAGTCAGTGTATGATGTGTGAGTGAGTCAGTGCATGATGTGTGAGTGAGTCAGTGTATGATGTGTGAGTGAGTCAGTGTATGATGTGTGAGTGAGTCAGTGTATGATGTGTGAGTGAGTCAGTGTATGATGAGTGAGTCAGTGTATGATGTGTGAGTGAGTCAGTGCATGATGTGTGAGTCAGTGTATGATGTGTGAGTCAGTGTATGATGTGTGAGTGAGTCAGTGTATGATGTGTGAGTGAGTCAGTGTATGATGTGTGAGTCAGTGTATGATGTGTGAGTGAGTCAGTGCATGATGTGTGTGTGAGTGAGTCAGTGTATGATGTGTGAGTGAGTCAGTGTATGATGTGTGAGTGAGTCAGTGTATGATGTGTGAGTGAGTCAGTGTATGATGTGTGAGTGAGTCAGTGTATGATGTGTGAGTGAGTCAGTGTATGATGTATGAGTGAGTCAGTGTATGATGTGTGAGTGAGTCAGTGTATGATGTGTGAGTGAGTCAGTGTATGATGTGTGAGTCAGTGTATGATGTGTGAGTCAGTGTATGATGTGTGAGTGAGTCAGTGTATGATGTGTGAGTGAGTAAGTGTATGATGTGTGAGTCAGTGTATGATGTGTGAGTGAGTCAGTGTATGATGTGTGAGTGAGTCAGTGTATGATGTGTGAGTGAGTCAGTGTATGATGTGTGAGTGAGTCAGTGTATGATGTGTGAGTGAGTCAGTGTATGATGTGTGAGTGAGTCAGTGTATGATGTATGAGTGAGTCAGTGTATGATGTGTGAGTGAGTCAGTGTATGATGTGTGAGTGAGTCAGTGTATGATGCGTGAGTCAGTGTATGATGTGTGAGTGAGTCAGTGTATGATGTGTGAGTGAGTCAGTGCATGATGTGTGAGTGAGTTAGTGTATGATGTGTGAGTGAATCAGTGTATGATGTGTGAGCGAGTCAGTGTATGATGTGTGAGTGAGTCAGTGTATGATGTGTGAGAAAGTCAGTGTATGATGTGTGAGTGAGTCAGTGTATGATGTGTGAGTGAGTCAGTGTATGATGTGAGTGAGTCAGTGTAAGATGTGTGAGTGAGTCAGTGTATGATGTGTGAGTGAGTCAGTGCATGATGTGTGAGTGAGTCAGTGTATGATGTGTGAGTGAGTCAGTGTATGATGTGTGAGTGAGTCAGTGTATGATGTGTGAGTGAGTCAGTGTATGATGTGTGAGTCAGTGTATGATGTGTGAGTGAGTCAGTGCATGATGTGTGAGTCAGTGTATGATGTGTGAGTCAGTGTATGATGTGTGAGTGAGTCAGTGTATGATGTGTGAGTGAGTCAGTGTATGATGTGTGAGTCAGTGTATGATGTGTGAGTGAGTCAGTGCATGATGTGTGTGTGAGTGAGTCAGTGTATGATGTGTGAGTGAGTCAGTGTATGATGTGTGAGTGAGTCAGTGTATGATGTGTGAGTGAGTCAGTGTATGATGTGTGAGTGAGTCAGTGTATGATGTGTGAGTGAGTCAGTGTATGATGTATGAGTGAGTCAGTGTATGATGTGTGAGTGAGTCAGTGTATGATGTGTGAGTGAGTAAGTGTATGATGTGTGAGTCAGTGTATGATGTGTGAGTCAGTGTATGATGTGTGAGTGAGTCAGTGTATGATGTGTGAGTGAGTAAGTGTATGATGTGTGAGTCAGTGTATGATGTGTGAGTGAGTCAGTGTATGATGTGTGAGTGAGTCAGTGTATGATGTGTGAGTGAGTCAGTGTATGATGTGTGAGTGAGTCAGTGTATGATGTGTGAGTGAGTCAGTGTATGATGTGTGAGTGAGTCAGTGTATGATGTATGAGTGAGTCAGTGTATGATGTGTGAGTGAGTCAGTGTATGATGTGTGAGTGAGTCAGTGTATGATGCGTGAGTCAGTGTATGATGTGTGAGTGAGTCAGTGTATGATGTGTGAGTGAGTCAGTGCATGATGTGTGAGTGAGTCAGTGTATGATGTGTGAGTGAGTCAGTGTATGATGTGTGAGTGAGTCAGTGTATGATGTGTGAGTCAGTGTATGATGTGTGAGTGAGTCAGTGCATGATGTGTGTGTGAGTGAGTCAGTGTATGATGTGTGAGTGAGTCAGTGTATGATGTGTGAGTGAGTCAGTGTATGATGTGTGAGTGAGTCAGTGTATGATGTGTGAGTGAGTCAGTGTATGATGTGTGAGTGAGTCAGTGTATGATGTATGAGTGAGTCAGTGTATGATGTGTGAGTGAGTCAGTGTATGATGTGTGAGTGAGTAAGTGTATGATGTGTGAGTCAGTGTATGATGTGTGAGTCAGTGTATGATGTGTGAGTGAGTCAGTGTATGATGTGTGAGTGAGTAAGTGTATGATGTGTGAGTCAGTGTATGATGTGTGAGTGAGTCAGTGTATGATGTGTGAGTGAGTCAGTGTATGATGTGTGAGTGAGTCAGTGTATGATGTGTGAGTGAGTCAGTGTATGATGTGTGAGTGAGTCAGTGTATGATGTGTGAGTGAGTCAGTGTATGATGTATGAGTGAGTCAGTGTATGATGTGTGAGTGAGTCAGTGTATGATGTGTGAGTGAGTCAGTGTATGATGCGTGAGTCAGTGTATGATGTGTGAGTGAGTCAGTGTATGATGTGTGAGTGAGTCAGTGCATGATGTGTGAGTGAGTTAGTGTATGATGTGTGAGTGAATCAGTGTATGATGTGTGAGCGAGTCAGTGTATGATGTGTGAGTGAGTCAGTGTATGATGTGTGAGAAAGTCAGTGTATGATGTGTGAGTGAGTCAGTGTATGATGTGTGAGTGAGTCAGTGTATGATGTGAGTGAGTCAGTGTAAGATGTGTGAGTGAGTCAGTGTATGATGTGTGAGTGAGTCAGTGCATGATGTGTGAGTGAGTCAGTGTATGATGTGTGAGTGAGTCAGTGTATGATGTGTGAGTGAGTCAGTGTATGATGTGTGAGTGAGTCAGTGTATGATGTGTGAGTCAGTGTATGATGTGTGAGTGAGTCAGTGCATGATGTGTGAGTCAGTGTATGATGTGTGAGTCAGTGTATGATGTGTGAGTGAGTCAGTGTATGATGTGTGAGTGAGTCAGTGTATGATGTGTGAGTCAGTGTATGATGTGTGAGTGAGTCAGTGCATGATGTGTGTGTGAGTGAGTCAGTGTATGATGTGTGAGTGAGTCAGTGTATGATGTGTGAGTGAGTCAGTGTATGATGTGTGAGTGAGTCAGTGTATGATGTGTGAGTGAGTCAGTGTATGATGTGTGAGTGAGTCAGTGTATGATGTATGAGTGAGTCAGTGTATGATGTGTGAGTGAGTCAGTGTATGATGTGTGAGTGAGTAAGTGTATGATGTGTGAGTCAGTGTATGATGTGTGAGTCAGTGTATGATGTGTGAGTGAGTCAGTGTATGATGTGTGAGTGAGTAAGTGTATGATGTGTGAGTCAGTGTATGATGTGTGAGTGAGTCAGTGTATGATGTGTGAGTGAGTCAGTGTATGATGTGTGAGTGAGTCAGTGTATGATGTGTGAGTGAGTCAGTGTATGATGTGTGAGTGAGTCAGTGTATGATGTGTGAGTGAGTCAGTGTATGATGTATGAGTGAGTCAGTGTATGATGTGTGAGTGAGTCAGTGTATGATGTGTGAGTGAGTCAGTGTATGATGCGTGAGTCAGTGTATGATGTGTGAGTGAGTCAGTGTATGATGTGTGAGTGAGTCAGTGCATGATGTGTGAGTGAGTCAGTGTATGATGTGTGAGTGAGTCAGTGTATGATGTGTGAGTGAGTCAGTGTATGATGTGTGAGTGAGTCAGTGTATGATGTGTGAGTGAGTCAGTGTATGATGTGTGAGTGAGTCAGTGTATGATGTGTGAGTCAGTGTATGATGTGTGAGTGAGTCAGTGTATGATGTGTGAGTGAGTCAGTGTATGATGTGTGAGTGAGTCAGTGTATAATGTGTGAGTCAGTGTCGGCTCCCTCTGCTCGTGCCGTCGTCCCCCCCTCCAGACTCCGTCCCCCCCCCCCCGGCTCCGTCGCCTCCCCCCCAGCTCCGTCGGCCCCCCCCCGGCTCCATCACCTCCCCCCCTGGCTCTGTCGCCCCCCCCCCCCCCCGGCTCCCCCGGCCCCGTCGGCTCCATCGACTCCCTCGGCCCCCTCACAAGCGGCCCCCGCCAGCCGCTGCTGGGAGCACGTGCGCCTCAGGCGGCCATCCAACCATTTATTTAATGTGGCACTGCACTCTGGTGTTGTAGGAGAAAACATTTAATTAAGTAGAACCTGTTGTCTATATTCATTTAAAGTTGCTCATTGTGATGTGATGTCACATTTCTCAAACCCCCCTCCCCGCCCCTCGTCACACATCGTCACAAATGTCTGATCCCACCCCCCCACCCCTAGGGGCGTGACGTCATTTATGGACGGCCCCCAAGTGGTTAGTTTATTATTGGGTGGCTCGTTAGGGATGGAGGTAGGGCGAGTGATTGGTTGTTGAGAGGGGAGGGTTCGTGATGGATTGGCTTGTTGGTCAGGATTAGCACAGCAGCTGATTGGCTAATTAACAAGGGGTCGTGTTTGAGTGGCTAATAGGTTACGGATCACGGTAAGGTAACGTCCATAAATTACGTCACGCACCTGGGGGGGGGGGGGGGGGTCAGACATGTGACGATGTGTGACGAAGGGAGGGGGGGGTTGAGAAATGTGACGTCACATCAAAATGCGCAACTTTAAATAAATATAGACAACACGTTCTACTTAATTAAATAGACTTTTTAATAAATGTGTTCTCCTACAACATCAGAGTGCAGCGCCACATTAAATACGCACTACAATGACAATAGTTTAAAGCGATTTGAAGCATGTTTTATTTTCAAAACAGAAATATGGTTTTTGGGGGGGAGGGGGTGGGGCAGAGCTTTGTGACGTCATATTTGAGGGAAGGGGGGGGGTCTGACTTATTGTGACGCCGTGTGACCAGGGGGGGGGGGAGGTCAAAAATCGTCCAAAATCGCGTGACGTCATTTATGGACGGCCCCTAAGGTAGGGGGGGAGGCATTGATAAGTGTCTGACAGGTAATGCCGTTTCACGTTGCAAGTCTCCGCGGATACGCTCGGATAAACCAGTGGTTCTTCACGTGAGAGTGCGAGATGCCCTCTATGAGAAGCATAGCGGTGCGGGGATGCATTAAAGGTGAAGCACCACCGGTTTAATGATACAAGTGCAACGCGATAACCAAACAGGACATATGGAATCGAAACAGAACCGATTAATGGGGTTGCCGCGGGCAAGGAATCGATTTGGAAGGGAACGAAAATCTCAGGCAGCGCAAGTGGAGACATCGCTCACGAGTGTGAGAGGGTGAGCGAGACACAGTGACCCCCACCCTGTGTGAGCGACTGAGACACAGTGACCCCCCCTGTGTGAGGGACTGAGACACAGTGACCCCCCCTGTGTGAGCGAGACACAGTGACCCCCCCCCCTGTGTGGAGTGTGAGTGACTGAGTGAGACACAGTGACCCCCCCTGTGTGGAGTGACTGAGTGAGACACAGTGACCCCCCCTGTGTGAGCGACTGAGACACAGTGACCCCCCCTGTGTGAGTGACTGAGCGACTGAGACACAGTGACCCCCCCCTGTGTGAGTGACTGAGTGACACACAGTGACCCCCCCGCCTCCGCTGTGTGGAGTGAGAGTGACTGAGTGAGACACAGTGACCCCCCCTGTGTGGAGTGAGAGTGACTGAGTGAGACACAGTGACCCCCCCCTGTGTGGAGTGAGAGTGACTGAGTGAGACACAGTGACCCCCCCTGTGTGAGTGACTGAGTGAGACACAGTGACCCCCCCTGTGAGGAGTGAGAGTGACTGAGTGAGACACAGTGACCCCCCCCCCCCTGTGTGGAGTGAGAGTGACCGAGTGAGACACAGTGACCCCCCCCTGTGTAGAGTGAGAGTGACTGAGTGAGGCACAGTGACCCCCCCTGTGTGAGTGACTGAGTGAGACACAGTGACCCCCCCTGTGTGGAGTGAGAGTGACTGAGTGAGACACAGTGACCCCCCCCCCCCCCCCTGTGTGGAGTGAGAGTGACTGAGTGAGACACAGTGACCCCCCTTGTGTGGAGTGAGAGTGACTGAGTGAGACACAGTGACCCCCCTTGTGTGGAGTGAGAGTGACTGAGTGAGACACAGTGACCCCCCCCCCCTGTGTGGAGTGAGAGTGACTGAGTGAGACACAGTGACCCCCCCTGTGTGGAGTGAGAGTGACTGAGTGAGACACAGTGACCCCCCTCCCCCTGTGTGGAGTGAGAGTGACTGAGTGATACACAGTGACCCCCCTCCCCCTGTGTGGAGTGAGAGTGACTGAGTGAGACACAGTGACCCCCCCTGTGTGGAGTGAGAGTGACTGAGTGAGACACAGTGACCCCTACCCCTGTGTGGAGTGTGAGTGACTGAGTGAGACACAGTGACCCCCCCTGTGTGGGGTGAGAGTGACTGAGTGAGACACAATGACCCCCCTGTGTGGAGTGAGAGTGACTGAGTGAGACACAGTGACCCCCCCCCTGTGTGGAGTGAGAGTGACTGAGTGAGACACAGTGACCCCCCCTGTGTGGAGTGTGAGTGACTGAGTGAGACACAGTGACCCCCCCTGTGTGAGTGACTGACTGAGACACAGTGACCCCCCCTGTGTGGAGTGTGAGTGACTGAGTGAGACACAGTGACCCCCCCCCCGTGTGGAGTGAGAGTGACTGAGACACAGTGACCCACCCTGTGTGGAGTGAGAGTGACTGAGTGAGACACAGTGACCCCCCCCCTGTGTGGAGTGAGAGTGACTGAGTGAAACACAGTGACCCCCCCTGTATGGAGTGAGAGTGACTGAGTGAGACACAGTGACCCCCCCTGTGTGGAGTGAGAGTGACTGAGTGAGACACAGTGACCCCCCCTGTGTGGAGTGAGAGTGACTGAGTGAGTCACAGTGACCCCCCCTGTGTGGAGTGAGAGTGACTGAGTGAGACACAGTGACCCCCCTGTGTGGAGTGTGAGTGACTGAGTGAGACACAGTGATCCCCCCTGTGTGGAGTGAGAGTGACTGAGTGAGACACAGTGACCCCCCCTGCGTGGAGTGAGAGTGACTGAGTGAGACACAGTGACCCCCCCTGTGTGAGTGACTGAGTGAGACACAGTGACCCCCCCTGTGTGAGTGACTGAGTGAGAAACAGTGACCCCCCCGTGTGGAGTGAGAGTGACTGAGTGAGACACAGTGACCCCCCCCGTGTGGAGTGAGAGTGACTGAGTGAGACACAGTGACCCCCCTGTGTGGAGTGAGAGTGACTGAGTGAGACACAGTGACCCCCGCCCCGTGTGGAGTGAGAGTGACTGAGTGAGACACAGTGACCCCCCCTGTGTGGAGTGAGAGTGACTGAGTGAGACACAGTGACCCCCGCCCCGTGTGGAGTGAGAGTGACTGAGTGAGACACAGTGACCCCCCCTGTGTGGAGTGAGAGTGACTGAGTGAGACACAGTGACCCCCGCCCCGTGTGGAGTGAGAGTGACTGAGTGAGACACAGTGACCCCCCCTGTGTGGAGTGAGAGTGACTGAGTGAGACACAGTGACCCCCCCCTGTGTGGAGTGAGAGTGACTGAGTGAGACACAGTGACCCCCCCCCCTGTGTGGAGTGAGAGTGACTGAGTGAGACACAGTGACCCCCCCCCCCTGTGTGAGTGACTGAGTGAGACACAGTGACCCCCCCCCGTGTGGTGTGAGAGTGACTGAGTGAGACAGTGACCCCCCCCCTGTGGAGTGAGAGTGACTGAGTGAGACACAGTGACCCCCCCCCCCCCCCTGTGTGGAGTGAGAGTGACTGAGTGAGACACAGTGACCCCCCCTGTGTTGAGTGAGAGTGACTGAGTGAGACACAGTGACCCCCCTTGTGTGGAGTGAGAGTGACTGAGTGATACACAGTGACCCCCCCCCCTGTGTGGAGTGAGAGTGACTGAGTGAGACACAGTGACCCCCCTCCCCCTTGTGTGGAGTGAGAGTGACTGAGTGAGACACAGTGACCCCCCCCCTGTGTGGAGTGAGAGTGACTGAGTGAGACACAGTGACCCCCCCTGTGTGGAGTGAGAGTGACTGAGTGAGACACAGTGACCCCCCCTGTGTGAGTGACTGAGTGAGACACAGTGACCCCCCCTGTGTGGAGTGTGAGTGACTGAGTGAGACACAGTGACCCCCCCCCCGTGTGGAGTGAGAGTGACTGAGACACAGTGACCCACCCTGTGTGGAGTGAGAGTGACTGAGTGAGACACAGTGACCCCCCCCCCTGTGTGGAGTGAGAGTGACTGAGTGAAACACAGTGACCCCCCCTGTATGGAGTGAGAGTGACTGAGTGAGACACAGTGACCCCCCCTGTGTGGAGTGAGAGTGACTGAGTGAGACACAGTGACCCCCCCTGTGTGGAGTGTGAGTGACTGAGTGAGTCACAGTGACCCCCCCTGTGTGGAGTGAGAGTGACTGAGTGAGACACAGTGACCCCCCTGTGTGGAGTGTGAGTGACTGAGTGAGACACAGTGACCCCCCCTGTGTGGAGTGAGAGTGACTGAGTGAGACACAGTGACCCCCCCTGCGTGGAGTGAGAGTGACTGAGTGAGACACAGTGACCCCCCCTGTGTGAGTGACTGAGTGAGACACAGTGACCCCCCCTGTGTGAGTGACTGAGTGAGAAACAGTGACCCCCCCGTGTGGAGTGAGAGTGACTGAGTGAGACACAGTGACCCCCCCCTGTGTGGAGTGAGAGTGACTGAGTGAGACACAGTGACCCCCCCGGTGTGAGTGTGAGTGACTGAGTGAGACACAGTGCCCCCCCCCGTGTGGAGTGTGAGTGACTGAGTGAGACACAGTGACCCCCGCCCCTGTGTGGAGTGAGAGTGACTGAGTGAGACACAGTGACCCCCCCTGTGTGGAGTGAGAGTGACTGAGTGAGACACAGTGACCCCTCCCCCCGGGTGGAGTGAGAGTGACTGAGTGAGACACAGTGACCCCCCCTGTGTGGAGTGAGAGTGACTGAGTGAGACACAGTGACCCCCCCTGTGTGGAGTGAGAGTGACTGAGTGAGACACAGTGACCCCCCCCCCCCTGTGTGGAGTGAGAGTGACTGAGTGAGACACAGTGACCCCCCCCCCCCTGTGTGAGTGACTGAGTGAGACACAGTGACCCCCCCCCCCCGTGTGGTGTGAGAGTGACTGAGTGAGACACAGTGACCCCCCCCCCCTGTGGAGTGAGAGTGACTGAGTGAGACACAGTGACCCCCCCCCCCCCTGTGTGGAGTGAGAGTGACTGAGTGAGACACAGTGACCCCCCCTGTGTGGAGTGAGAGTGACTGAGTGAGACACAGTGACCCCCCCCCCCCTGTGTGGAGTGTGAGTGACTGAGTGAGACACAGTGACCCCCCCTGTGTGAGTGACTGAGTGAGTCACAGTGACCCCCCCTGTGTGGAGTGAGAGTGACTGAGTGAGACACAGTGACCCCCCCCCCTGTGTGGAGTGAGAGTGACTGAGTGAGACACAGTGACCCCCCCTGTGTGAGTGACTGAGTGAGACACAGTGACCCCCCCTGTGTGGAGTGAGAGTGACTGAGTGAGACACAGTGACCCCCCCTGTGTGAGTGTGAGTGACTGAGTGAGACACAGTGCCCCCCCCCCCGTGTGGAGTGTGAGTGACTGAGTGAGACACAGTGACCCCCGCCCCTGTGTGGAGTGAGAGTGACTGAGTGAGACACAGTGACCCCCCCTGTGTGGAGTGAGAGTGACTGAGTGAGACACAGTGACCCCTCCCCCCGTGTGGAGTGAGAGTGACTGAGTGAGACACAGTGACCCCCCCTGTGTGGAGTGAGAGTGACTGAGTGAGACACAGTGACCCCCCCTGTGTGGTGTGAGAGTGACTGAGTGAGACACAGTGACCCCCCCCCTGTGTGGAGTGAGAGTGACTGAGACACAGTGACCCCCCCCCCTGTGTGAGTGACTGAGTGAGACACAGTGACCCCCCCCCCCCGTGTGGTGTGAGAGTGACTGAGTGAGACACAGTGACCCCCCCCCTGTATGGAGTGAGAGTGACTGAGTGAGACACAGTGACCCCCCCTGTGTGGAGTGAGAGTGACTGAGTGAGACACAGTGACCCCCCCTGTGTGGAGTGAGAGTGACTGAGTGAGACACAGTGACCCCCCCTGTGTGAGTGTGAGTGACTGAGTGAGACACAGTGCCCCCCCCCGTGTGGAGTGTGAGTGACTGAGTGAGACACAGTGACCCCCGCCCCTGTGTGGAGTGAGAGTGACTGAGTGAGACACAGTGACCCCCCCTGTGTGGAGTGAGA